AAGACGCTTCTATTCTAATAATTCAGTATATATTCGCCACGCCCGGTGTTCCTTTGTCATTAAAGACGCCAGCTGCGATTTCCCAAATGCATACAGCCTGTTACTAGAGTCCCCAGCCGTGATGGTGATGGATACACGAGTGTCTTGGTTGGTTGGTTGGTTGGTTGGCTGGTTGGCTGGTTGGCTGGTTGTTGTTTAACGCCGCACTCCAGCTATTTGGCGGCATCTGTAAATAATCCAGTCTGGACCAGACAATCCAGTGATCAACAGCAAGTTGATAGTTTTATCATTTATGGAACTATTTGACTTGTTATCGGAAACTTGGAACACATTGATGGCTCAGATACAACACAGAACGTTACACGTGGCAGCGTGTTGTTGATGGGCAGAAGACAATGTGCTATATATTTCTTAGTTCACTTAATTAATTTGTATGGTATATATACGAAACTCCGAAAGATGTCAGTTTTGGAGTTTAATCACCTTGGAGACGAGATGGGTGTCACAAACTACTCTCGATGTTTTTGGAGTTACTCGGTCAGAGAAGAGAACCACTGACCTTCGGCTCTCTCAGATGATGATTTATCCAGTAGACCATGTAGCCCACCAGACAAAAATCTGTAACTATTTAGTCACGATTGGTCTTTCCACCTCAGTAATATATTCACGGGGAGATAAGATTAAGCTTCGTTATCATAATAAACCAGATTGGCATATTTTGCGGGGAGTTTGTAAAGTAACTAAAATTTATAGGTATTTCATCTTTGTTGATCAACGTTGATCGAACTATCACTTGCGTTTTGCGGGTGGCGCAGCAGAGGTCGCGAACCAGTCAGGGATTCTGGGATATCATCTGGGTACCCACGTGAAAAACAATTGCAAAAGCAACAACCAGTCCAGGGAATAACTCAAGATCAATGCCCCTTTTAGATACTTACTGCACTTCGCCAGGTAAGACCCGTTTCGTTACAATAAAGGTCTTGATTATTGATCAGATTGTCTGGACTGGGATCCATGATTTTGACAAGGACAGGGACCATTGTAGTCATTTAATTCCCTCGCCTCGGGAAGATGCGTTAAAAAACGTGTGTGTGTGTGTGTGTGTAAGAAGTTGACGTCTTTTCTACAGAGTTTCTTTCTGTATTATATGTAGGTACAAATGGTTTGTGAAAGCATTATCAAACGTACTTCGCAAGCATTTTATCAAATTGATTGAATTACTATATTACTCGAGCGGGTGTCAGGTTGGTTTTACTGACTGGTTTCCCACGCCGAGACCGGGTGTTAATGGATGCGTGCTATAAAGATTTCTTTCGCGTCACGAATAAATAGAATGACGCGTCAACGGTGACAAGTGTCGAAAGGTCGAAAGAGTAGTTACGCTATATACACATCCTCTCAAAAATGGAATAATAGCTAGATTTCAACTTGAACAGGGATGGGTTAGCAAAAAACAACAACGCAAGCTTCCCTGAGAAATACTTTTACATTCCTTAGATGTCTCTTGCAGTAATAGCTGTTCATGCATGGACGAGCTGTAGGTAGAGAAAGATGATATATGCTCTCGTCATTCACAACAAGTACCAGTCGTGACGTCAAGGAGCAGCAATTCGTTCTGCTGGGTTGCGTCCCACGGACGTGACAAAAGTTTATGGTGGTGGGTTCGAACTTTTTATCATATTCCTAGATTCGACAGGACATACAATGTTTGTGGGTGTCGCCACGGCAGTAAACGTCTTTAAGCTGTATTTCCTCCGGGATTTTCTCCCCATGAAGACGATTCGCCGTCACATAGCAGGAGTACCGTTGAAAGACCGCGTTAAACTAACACACATCAGCCCGTTGGAAAGAATTCAACAGATTTGCGTTCGTGGCATTGCATTGAATGTGTATAAGTCCATAATGTAAAAAACAACACATCAAACACACACACGCGCACGCTTACGTGCACACATACATGCTGTAAAACACGCATACACTCATGAATACACGACAAAACACCCATACACACACGCACCAACTCATGCAGGCACGCACAGACACACACACAGCAAAACATGCATACGCGTCAACTGACGAACATTTGATTTCGATATCGAGCAAGAACGATCTACGCCATTTTCTCGGTACACGTGTACTTAAATATATGTTGACGTGACCTACATTCTCCTAAGTGCTAATATGGCATCATTATAGTACTATCATTAAGATGCACTCAAATTTTTTTTCTGATCGGGTCAAGTAATTTAAAAGGCATTCTTGCCATGTGAGGTGTACCGAATACACGGTAATTTGCGATGACATTTTAAATTTCGCTTTGTTTATTCGTTACTTATAAGAGGTTGACATTCTAAAGACGCTTCTATTTTAATAATTTAATTTGTATTCGTCACGCCCGTGTCCCTGTGTCACAAAAGACGACGGGGTCGATTTGCCACATGGGTGCAGTGAGTGAAGCCTGTTACTAGAGTCTCCAGCTGTTAATGGAATATAAACCATATATACCAAATGTGGATGTGTCATCTTCCGTTGCTTCATTACAAGTCTACAAATCAAGAAATATATCTTATAGAGGAGGATCTGGTGAGGGCGTTTATAGCTGTCGAACAAGATGATGATAACATTTTGAAATATTTTGTAATGTGGCCAGATTCAGAATTAACATTAAATTTTATTTTCAACACAAATGTAAACGCTTAATTATTAAATATTAATTATTAATATTAATTCAAGCTTGAGGCAAGAGCCGACTTGAGAGAGGCGGAGGTGGCAGGTTCGGCGACTCGACGGATTGTGAGGCACTGCGTCATAATGGAATCGTTGCTCATTTCATCAGTCACTAGTTTGTGTCGGTTCTGACGTATAGAGTGACGTGAACTGTAACTCTGAATCACTGCAACTAAAACTTAGTAGCTAGTCGGTTATAAAGTCGAAACTGTTTAGATTCCTCACATGTGTGATCAACATTAAAGTTTCCGGGGTCCTCCAGGCCCTGATATTGCTAAAACTATACTAACTCCTTTACTAACTCACTCGGAGCAGGATTATTAACAACGACAATAATACAACAATCGGAGCAAAATATTTTTTGTGGAGAAATATTTGGTGTTTGTGTTTTTATTAATCTTTAAAAAATATAGCCTGCCAATTGCCAGAAAATTACCTAGCGCTCAGTCACCATCAAGTGTTGGACCTGCATTGTAGCCAAATGCCGAAGTATGGTTCAGTGCGTGTAAATACTGAACGTTGTGTTGGCCAGATACGTATTAGGTAATAGCTCAATTGTCGATTTAGACATGAACTGTATAAAAGTCTGATACACTTATACAGTAAACACGTATTGCGATCTGAATGATAAACTTTATAGCAGTAGATGCCGATGCAGATAAAACTGATGTTGTGGATGTTTTTGATCATGTAAACAGTGTTTTCAATAATTGCTATCTAGTGGAGACTTGTGGGTGGTTGAGTGAGTGAGTGAGTTGGGCTTACCAGCGTTCCAGTTTTATCACGACCTGTCTGTTTAATGTTTGATGAAATCCCGTAAGTAATAGAGGTCTCGGGTGTTAAGCATTGCTATTGGGATGACAAACAGAAAAACAAAATCTGGGCAAATAGGAATATGAATTCGTCGTCACAACAATATGTTTCTGCTGTGTCAAGGGCAGCAACTCTGTATTTCTGACAGATCAGGTATAATATCACCAACTACCCCTCTTCACACACTTGACATAATCTGTCTGGGGATAGATGCCTAGATTATGTACAATATCTACCGGTTTCTATGGCAAAACGACGAGAACTACAGTGAAATGACGTTAACACTAAACAAAATGTTGAAAGTGTATTATCTGAAAAATATATGTTCCAAAAAGAGGTTCAAGTTTCGTTTCACTTTCTGAGTCAATTAAAAGGAAGTAAGTAAGTAAATAAATAAATAAATAAATAAATATAAAATATAAAAAAATAAATAAATAAATAAATAAATAAATAAATAAATAAATAAATAAATAAATAAATAAAGTAAAATGATTTGTCGTATACATAGACGTTTAATACCACATTTTATAGAAGTAATTGCTTCACTTTTAAGACAAAGTTACATCTACTATCATTAATAGTTTATGATTCAATACTAGAACATCTTTTGGATTTCCTGAATTTGGGGTATTTATTCATTCAAGTTGAAACCAATAAGTTATTACTCTTAAACACGACAAGATTTCATAGATGCAACACCTTCCACACTGACCCAATAATGTCTGAAGAATAGTTCACGACTCCACAAGTAGGAGTCATTTTCAATGTCCCCAAACCTCGGAGCGATATAAAGAAATGGACACTACCTTGGTTTAAATAAATCTTGAAAAAGGCAATAGGATTGTGAGTTTATCGCATGGTAATTAAGAAAATTCCCAAATATTATTACATGCCACACATTCAGTTCTGAGACCCAAACTCTTTTTCATTCTTCATAGTAAACCTCACTTCTTGAAGTTAACAATTATATTTTAATGAAGATATGTTGATTTACACATTAACTACATCATTCAAGATTATATGTTTTCATTTGCAAATAAAATTGTATGCGATTATAACCATTATAAACGTTATTCAACCAACCGAAAGTTTATCAATAGCATTTATTTTGTAAGGGATGTACATTTACATGGCTAAGTTAGAGAGCTTATGTCCAACTCCGTTATAACGTTAGCGGTTTCAGTATTTATCTAGAGTAATCCGATTTTGATAAACATACATACAATAGGAAACATCAATCGTTTAATCCCTATTTTATACATATAAACATAAAATTAAACCAATTTAGAAAATGAAGTGTTTTGACAAAAGCACCTCCGACGGGACTCGAACCCGCAATCCCCGGCTTTCACACACTTTCACCAGTCCGGCTTAGGAGGCCGATGCCTTATCCATTAGGCCACGGAGGCTTACGGTCATATCGGTGAAAATTTCTATTTTTAAACACGTGGCGTTTCCTTCCGCTAGAGGGCGCAACGTTCGCTGAACGAAACAGAAGAGAGCAAAATGCCAAAAGAAAGATCTCGTTCGCCTCCAAGAAGAGGTAAATAATTGTTTTATTCCACCACTTTTGTTGTTTCCTGTCCATACATTGAATTTCAGAAGTGTTCTGTCAGCACAACAGCGTGTATAATATCAATAATTCGGCTTTTTTGTACCGTGATGTTCATTGAATGTTTTCGTTTTGAATATGTTCGGTTTTCGATCAAAGAAAAACAAGGTGTCTTTCAGATGTTTCATGTTCATATACCTTGTAATTGGATGTTTTGAGAAGTGTTGTGTGTGAAGATTAATATTGCACTCAATTTCGAGGCGTATATGTGGCACGTATCGAAATAGATTTAGGTAAATCAACAAAATGGCTATTATAACATGATTGTGGACAAAAACTCAAATTCAAATAAATGCATGAAAGTAATATTTCTAATTATAATAATGATGATGACACAGTATCTTTAGACATGCCTTTTTAGCCTTTGCATTTACTGGAAATAAATCTTGTGCTTTTTGATAGATTTCTAGAGTTGGGACCTAACAAATACTAAATAGTAATGTTGGTGTGGCCAAAATACACACATGGCTTGAGACAGAAGACAGACGTGGTCGTGTTCTTGTTTTTTGTACTGGCCTGGTATATTATAAGTATATCTTCTCACTGACCGTGACAGGTCTTGAATATAGTTCTTGTCATTGAGAGGTTTTGTGGGTGAGTAGGCTTTTCGTTTTGTGACAGTGGAGAAACACCAATAGAACTTGACATAGTTGTTGACTTTCATAAGTTAGTGAGATGTTTTGCAGGTAATTGAAAACTGACTGGTAACAGTTAATGTCCCAGAAGTGTCAGAAAACCACAAGGAAAACACAACTTCTTGTCACTATGGCAGCCAGTGTTTGTGAGAATCTGTCAGACACAAACTGACCAAGTTCATCAATAAATATTTTGTTGAACTGTTCACTTTAGTCCCTGAAGTTATAAACAGGGGAGATAGTTCTATGGATAGACAACTTCTTTATTAGAATATATGCAGCGTTTCAAGTGATTGACGGCGTTAGCATCTAGATGGAAACATCACATGTATTGTAATAATGAAGTTGTATGTCAGTACAGGACTATCCCCTTGATCATCACACCCACATCTGAATGCCACTCACCTGCAGTTATAACTGTAAGCTAGAAACACTTGTGAAACTTTCCGAAGTTTTGGTTCTTGTAAAGTATTATATGCTCATTTAGCATGTTTAGTTTGAAGATTCATCACAATTGGTTATTTGGATTTGGAACTTCATTACCTTTTAACCTACTTTTTATGTATTTTTAGATCGTGAGAGACGACGATCACGTTCACGGGAGAGAAGACGTAAGTTTTTGTTATAACTTATATCTCCATTCACTGTTTTGGTTCCTGGTTGTACAGGTACCTCTATCATGATGTATCTGGGCGTTGTACCAAACATTCCATTCTGGGGAGACACTATAAGTTGTATGCTTCTCTCGAGGGTAATACGGTCTGATGTACGCCTGTTTCTTGCTGTGTCACAGCCATGTTAAATGTACAAAATATCATTTTATTTTGAAGATCAATACCGTCTATATGACATGTTAACAAAATGGCATCTGGGTTTTCAAAATTAATTAAACATATTCTGACAAGCTTAAAACTGCTATAAGATGGTTAATTATGTTTAAATTGAACAATTCAATGTATAAAATAGTTTAAATAAAGCAGTGAAAGTCGGTAAAATATATGTGTACATAGTGAACTAAAAAAACAGCTAATAGAATGGTTTTAGAACTCTGTGCACTGCATGCGTCATAATATGACGTCTGTTAGTGATACAGCTTCTCAGCGGAGAGTTTGGCGGTTACCGTGGCAGCAGGTTATATTTTTTCCAGTTGTCACCCTCCTGGAAGGGGTGACACGGAAACTTGTTAAGGTGTCATTGACCAATGAAATTAAAGTATTTACATGAAGGTAAGATAAATTTTGCTGTCTAAAGCTTGTGTTAGAAATGCTAGAAACCTGTGAATCGTGTGATTGACTTCTAATCCTGGTTTTGAGACCTGCATCAGTTTAGGCTTTCCCCCACATTAACCTGACATGTCATCTAACTGAAACACTGTTTATCCAAACTTGCCTTCATTGTTACATTGGTCACGTGACAGTGCTTCATGTATAGATCACTTTGCAACAATGTCTGCAGTGACTTTATCTAAAAAAATAAGCTCATGGCAGGTATGATATGTCTAGACTATTGCTAAAAGTGGCATAAAATATTCCTAAAACAAACCTGCTGTATTGGGTCCCACAATCTTTCAACACCCTCTTTTTTCCTATGACCATACATGTAATTACAGGTAATCTGTTAAGGCTGGTGGCTGTTCCTTGTGTGTGTTTATTTACCGGTACTTGTTGTGAGTGTTCTATTTTATTCAACAGCAGCTATGTTACAGTGTATAATCTGGTTGATTTACTTTGTCATTTCATCCTCTAATTTTGTGTGCGTCCTCCTGGAGAGCGGTTTCTGGTGTCCCCCGCCGTGATGTTGCTGGAATATTGCTAAAAGCGGCATAAAACCAAACTCAGTCAGTCAGTCAGTCCTGGAGAGCGGAAGGTCGCGGGTTCGATCCCCGTCCGTGTCATACCAAAAGACATTAAAATATGGTTCTAGCACTCTAGCACTATAAAACCAGCATAAGTCTGGCTAGTACAAGCAGCCACACATCCACACGCATGCACGTCGTCATATGAGCAAAATATTACGACGTTAAACCCCATTTCACCTCACCTCACATGTAATTTTGTTCAGGACCTTGTCTCAGAAAGCAAGCATTGTGTTAATGGATGTTGAACTATGGGAGTAATGACTTTGGTAGCTGTTTACAAGTACTTTATGAAACAGAGCTCTGATCCCAACTGCATTACACAACAAATAACAAGTCTTGTATGACCCTGACAGACCACAGGAGGAGGAGCAGATCCCCAAGAGCCCGGCGTTCACGGTCTCACTCCCCAAGGAGAAGATCACGGTAAGAGCTTGCTTTTGTCATCAAGTGTAAAGATAACAGTAAATCTCATGTCCTTTGAGATGTTATTTAGCTGGAATGTTGGAATGTATTTAAGACTGTTCATGCAACTGGATTAGTGGTGCTGTGTAAAGCTATATTTAACTGAAGGAAACTATACATGTTTTGATTCATTTCTACTCAACTTGATCATATTAATATCTTAATATATCGTTTTGATGGTAAATTAACATATTGCATTTATAATATAAACTCCATTCACTAGTTGAATAGTCATACAGTCAATGCACAGCAGTAAAATCACCTGTTTACACTGACAATAAAGCCTCTATTCTTTATACCTCTACAAAACATACCGATGTCATTTTTACATAGCATGGTCTAATTACCCGGGATTTAAGACAGCAGTTTATTTCTTAATATTTAAAATGGCCACGACAGAAGGTAATTTTGAGATAAAATGGTTATAGCACAAAATGTTCTCTACAACCATTGACATTTTGTCTTTGAATGTTAGAATGTTCATCAGATTGTTCTTCATAATCTCCAAGCAATCCTTCTCACACATGATGGCATGTAAGGTGAAGGTCACTATATATGACTGACTGACTGACTGAATTTGGTTTTACGCCGCTTTTAGCAATATTCCAGCAACATCACGGCGGGGGACACCAGAAATGGGTTTCACAAATTGTACCCATGTGGGGATTCGAACCCGGGTCTTCGGCGTGACGAGCCAACGCTTTAACCACTGGGCTACCCCACATCCCCACTATATATGAAGTAAACATGCCTAACTGTGTGTTAGATGCATTATTACCCTTCTTGACCAGGGCTTCAGTGACTTTGTTGATCATGCTGATTGCATATCATTATGACCCAGGGTCATAGGACATTGCTCATAATATCAGTCACTGGTTTTGTCTGATGCAGTCATGGTTGTTAGCATGCTCTTGTGATATATCTGTGAGAGTTGCTGATTGCAGTGAGAACACCAGGCACACAAAATAACATATGAATGATGGCAGAAGTATTTAAAAAACACCAGGGCTATAGGCATTGTATCCTTACCGTTTATTACCGTAGATAAGCCGACCCCATAGATAAGCCGACCCCCTAACTTGACCCTTAAAATCAGTGTCAAAAGGTATGTGTTTTTCATGATACTGCTGGGGTGGTGAAGTAGCCTAGTGGTCTAAGCGTTCGCTCATCATACCAATGACCCGGGTTCGATTCCCCACATGGGTACAATGTATGAAGCCCATTTCTGGTGTCTTCCTCTGTAATATTGCTGGAATATTGCTAAAAGCGGTGTAAAACCATACTCACTGATCATACTGCTGGAATTGCTTTTGCTGTGTGTACATGTCTACATTAGTTCAATGTGTCACCAGGTCCGTGTCACCAGGCAGATCAGAGAGGAGGAGTACGTCCAGAGAAAAGTGAGTTAATACACATATGTCATATTGAAATTGTGTGTGGTCAGGTACACCAGTGATGATGATAATGCTTATGTCATCTTTTACAAGCATATTAATAATAAGTTGTGAAAGAAATTCAAATTCAGAAGTTAATTTCTGTCTGTGTCTGTATCAGTCATAGTCACAGCACATGTATGTTTTCTTCAAAGTGGAAATATATAGATGGATGAAAACCAGTGACCTGGACGCAGCTACATGTCTCTTACTTTTTGTGTTTTAGGGAAGCAAGCAAGTCTTCAGACAAGCCTGTACAGCTGAATTCATCACATGTTGCTAATAAACCCAAGTTAGACAGTGAGTGTTTCACATGTTGGGTGACAGTGAGTGTTTCACGGGGTGGTGACGTGGATACACCGATGTTTAGTTTACAGTGCAATACCAAGCTGGAGCTGGCTCCTACTTATGCTTGTCTTGAGACCTAGTTGAGTGTCATTGTGCCCCAGTTGTGTAGGATATTGCATAAAATATTACTGGTTTGTCTGGTCAAGACGTGTTTATTGTTGATACATTATAAGAATGATACTCAGGACATCTGCTTTGTCAGTACATTGCCTGTAACTTCTTCCCAAACAAGCGTATATGCTTGTTTGTTGACATCAAAGTCTTGAGTTCACCCTTAGCCCTCATGTCTACTTTTCTGTGTTAAGATATAAGAGGACTATCTCACATTTCACTAGATTTTAAAGTTTTCTGTCACCTTGCCCCATTAGATGTATTTCTCTGTGTGCAAGCATTGTTGTTTTGTAAGTGGAAGGCACATGCAGTGCTATTTTTAGACCATCCCTGCTGAGCCTTTCATGTTATTTTGGCGTTCAGTGTTATTTGATACTGTGTAGTCTCTATGCTTCAATTGTTGCAATAGTGAAACGTGACAGTATTGTGGTAAAGTACATCTAATGTGGTAATCGACCCGCGAAGATCTGGGTTAGAATTCATCTTCAGTATGCCATGCTTGTTTGTAGAGGTGACTAATGGGATTGGGTGGTCAGACTCTCTGACTTGGTTGACATGTCATCGTATCCCAATTGTGTAGATCGATGCTCATGTTGTTGATCACTGGGTTGTCTGGTCCTTGTCTGATCCAGACTCCATTATTTACAGCTTGCCGCCATATGGCTGGATTATTGCTGAGTGCAGCGTTAAACTAAACTCACTCATTCACTAAATGTCATGATTTGTCATTTTATTTGTTGTCAGGGATGAAATCTGAAATCATTTTGTTAACTGATCTACCAGGGCCCTGTTCCTCAAAGTGGTTGTAGCGCTACGACAGTCATAACTCTCATACTTTAACATAGACTTACGACTGTCATTGCGCTACAATCACTTTGAGGAACGAGGCACTGGTTGTCTTCTATGGTAGTCATTCAAAATACGGAAAACTATTCGATTGATATGACATTTTCATCACAAGGGACACAACTCGTTCTTCAATGAGTAGCCATGTGTGAACCATTAATAGTATGACAAGGATAGGACTGGACTTTGACACTCTTATCTTAGGAAGATGTTTTGAGGATAAACATTCACGCGTTCATAGCTTAAAGGGAGATAACTTGTGTGATCTTAAAAGCCTGTTCAGCTTTATCTCTACTCTGGGCAAAATGAAAAAGAAAAGAACATGATGAAATGTCTTTAGAGATAGTAATAGGTTATCTGGATTTGTGAAATTATCTGTATGAACTACCTGATAAACAGAGCTAAGTCAGTAATTCTTTCCTGATTATTTGATACAGGAATGACATCACCTGCAATCAAAATGATGACCTTCACTTTCAGAACAGACAATGTCGAAAGAGGAAACAGATATGATGAAAATAATGGGATTCTCTGGCTTTGAGACAACAAAAGTAAGTCTTTTTTTCATGACAAAATAAAGTATTTTTTAGTTCATGAGTTGTATCAGAGTCATATGATTTCTCACTGCAGTGATATCAGTCAATTGTATCCTCACTTTAGTCATATCAGTCAATTGTATTTTCAATTGTATTCTCACAACAGTCATATCAGTCAATTGTATTCTCACTACAGCCATATCAGTCAATTGTATTCTCACTAGTCATATCAGTTAATTGTATTCTCACTACAGCCATATCAGAGCCAATTGTATTCTCACTTCAGTCATATCAGTCTCTTTATCTCATACCATGGCAGAAATATAACCATTTGGGGATTCCATGTACTGATAGCTGGAATATTGCGGAGTTTGGCTTTAATGACAAACAACAAACACTATGTCCCAAAGGGAGTTAAGAAATACAGTTCGCTCTACCACCATGTATAGTGTAAAAAGCACACTTTCGCCCTGAACTATTATATTATGACGTTAAAGCACTCGGACGCAAACGTCCTCGTGCTTTATCTTTTCTAAGATGCCAAATTTAATACTTTCTAATGGTAATTATGATTAATCTAAGGCAGAAAACAAACGATGGTGTCGGTGACCTAAATTAAGAATCCTTGCACAGGGCTAACTGGCGCGCTGTCCTATTGATGTGTCTGCCCCCCCTATGTTAAGACGAACGTTACCAGAAAATACAGACGATAAACAGTTTGATGACGGTTTACGTTCGGATTAAATATCTTCATTAAATTATTTTAATTGCATCTGTGATTAACGTAAACAATATGGGGCAATATGAATGTCGCATTTCTACTACCAAAGTAAGTTTAGATCAGTACATTCAGATGAAGCTGAGTAGTCAGGCGACATTCCACAATTGCATTATGGGAATGTAAACATTGCGAACGTTACCATGTCGCTGAAAACTTGTGAGTCGAATTGAGACATTTGAAACGTCGGAAAACATAAACATAATGTTTCCACCAGTGACGTTAGCTGCGTGAAGCAACTGCAAACCAAGAAACGGGATGCAACGGAGTAGTTTACTGTAGGAGGCTGAACGAGACGATGGCAACGGACATACATCGTTTACATTGTGACGTAATGCAAAATTGTTCGATTACAAGGGGGCAGACTAGAATGGCATTACATTGTGACGTAATGCAAAAAGTGCACATTATCGTCTGATAAAGTACTTTTGGCGCCTTTGATCTTTCACCGAAGCATCTTAGAATTACTGTTATCATGTGAGATTTTTGTGTTTCAGAACAAGAAGGTCGAAGGCAATGATATTTATGTGACTAACCTCCAGAGGAAGCGAAGATACAGGTCAGTGTGTTTAAACGCTTAACTGAAAGAGCTCCAGGTAGATACATTGCTCTGTCTTGCAGTACTGATGACTAGTCAACACTGGAAGCTCTCCCTCCCTCTCTCTCTCACTCATAATTTTGTTATGCTAATTGTCCTGATAGATAAGTCCTGATTCTTGTTAACTCGATATCTCATGAACTGTTGTACCCAATGTCTTCAAATGTGGTGACAACCTCCATTGGGGGATTACCCAGACACCAGTCGATTGGATGACCTTGACCTTATTTTCAAGGTCACCACGACTTTTTGAACACTTTTCAAACTGTTGTTAACGTGATATCTCATGCACTGTTGTACCCAATGTCTTCAAATTTGGTGACAGCCTACATTGGGGGATTACGCAGACACCAGTCGATTTGGGTGACCTTGACTTTATCTTCAAGGTCACCATGACACTTTGACCACTTTTGAAACTCTTGTTAACGCGATGTGTCATAAAACATTGCACCCAATGTCTTCAATTATGTTGACAGCCTACATTGGGTGATTATGCAGACACCAGTCATTTCAAGTATCTTGTATGTGATAAAAAAATTAAAAATAGTAAATGTGTTATAAATATTCCATTCTTTAGCGGGCGGGGACATTGCCATATCAGTGGCAAACACTTGTTTTAGTCATTATTTTATGAGATACATTCTTTATGTATTGCTTGAAAAAAGATACAGGAGATTTCATTATGGTCACCCTTAAATATGCCACTCAGTTCTCGATAGGGATAACCAGATGTGTTTTTCTATTCAGTATACACCTGACAATCAGTTTTGTGTATCATGGAAAGATCAGTGTTTCCCGAACATAAGTGTAGTATTACATTATTAATAGACAGCTAATTTGAACAATACTATACACTTGATGTATTTCAATACATCAAAAGACATTAAAATATGGTACTTGTTGGTCCCTGCTTGGCGCTCGGCATTAATGGGTACAACAAGGACTGGTCGGCTCGGAGTCAGTATAATGTGTCTGAGTGGGGTATTCATGCTTCACTGCGGCATGGTATCTCAGTGGGCTAGCACTATAAAACCAGCTTCAGTCTGGGCTAGTACAAGCAGCCGCACATACACATACACATACACACGCATGCACGTCGTCATATGAGCCAAATATTCTCAAGCACGACGTTAAACCAATTCCACCACCACCAGTTCAATACATCACCATCAGTAGGAGTGAGTGAATGTGTATGGTTTTACACTGCTTTAGCAATATTCCAGCAATACCATGGTGGGGGACATGATAAATGGGCTTTACGCAATGTACCCATGTGGGGAATCGAACCTGGGTCTTCAGCGTGATGAGCTGATGCTTTAACCAGTAGGCTACCCCACCGGTCCCAAATCAATCATCCTTGATAATCTCCAGGGTATACGTTCCAATAAATCTCCACTAAAGTACTGTCGGAAATAGAAAAAAACTGTTTTCTCGCATTGATATCTACAATTTTTGTAGTTAATATGTGTAAGTGTGAAATATCTGTTAAACTAAGTTCGGCCTAACTACAGTCTCAGTGGTTGGGAGATAGGAAACGTAGAAAAAGGACTTTACTGAGGAGAGATTAGTGCAGAAATGAGAAATGCGTTTTTTTCTAAGTCCAAAGCGACTTATTTGGAACAGACCATGGCTTTATGCAAATTAGTGTGCGATGATATTATATTACAAAGGACAATTTTTAAATGTCCATTTTGAAATTAGACTTAGCTTCATTATAAACGATAGCTGACATAAAAAATAATGACTTTAATACTGAAACTATAAAGGATGTAGCTACCATGGAGTCTTAACTATCACTATAAAAAGAAACAGGCAGGAGGGGTCGTCTCAAAAGCAAATCCAGGACGGGTGTCGCAGACGGTGGTTGGGGCCGGAATGAGATAAGATAATCATTTAGGGGAATTAAACTGGGAAGCAAATGGCATGTCATAACAATTTACAAATAAAATATCCAGTCCTGTCGATCTTCGGGTGGTCATTATATTTTGAGACATTTAATACGATGGCTGATTTAAGCTTTTCCATAGGTATCATACCCTTTTACGTATCTCCACATAAACTTTATGATTAATAGATGAGACATATTCAACACATATGAAAAAGCATTAAATATCTTTGAGATGACCCCTTGTGCTTGTAGGCAGGACGTGCATTTAATGCCAGGTGAGTCGACGGTCCGTCGTCATACCTGGCTGAGCGACCTAATTGCCATCTATAGTCCGATCTATTATTTTGAGCAGCTATTTGTATTTTTTTGTAAGTTTTGACCCGATTTTATGAGTAAACATGCTTTTCTGGATATACTATTACGCATCCCACTGAATGCCCAGTTAGGCCGATATGGGTTATTTCGACATATGCTATTTGTAAATTTGTCAATTTTAGGGATACAGAGTAACAGCCTAAAAACTTTTTTTTTCTATTTCCGACAGTACTTTAGTACCCTGGATGCATCTATGGCTCGGCTCGATAATTTTATTACCTCCTTTTGCTGGTTCCACATTCTCACAGTAGCCAATCAGCTAAGCTACCAATAAAACCGAGCTTGCCAGTGTCAACAAAGATAGCGGTTGCAGACGCGAAAGTTTGTTCGCAGTCCGACTCAGATTTGGGGGGAAATCATACAGACAAATACACAGGTCTGAAACCTTAAGAAATATATGCAAGAACTCTTTCTACCTCTTTCAGAGTATCTCTGCAACAATTATGTTGCCAAGTTTAATCGGTTAGATAAAAGAAGCGAAAGTGAGTCGTCATTGGTACACTCAACATCCCAGCGTAGACACCTGATTGGATGAAAAGCCAGCCAAGGGAGGTAATAATATTATGGGGCAGAGTCATAGATGCATCCAGGGTATATAGTGGAGATTTATTGGAACATATATCCTGGAGGTTATCAAGGATGCCCATCAATAGGAGGGATCAATTCAAATCCTCAAGCTAACTTGTTTGTTTGTAAGAGTAAAACTGACCAAAACAGTATCTTGCCAGTGACGTATAGTTTTCCTGTTTGACATTAATGCATAAAGTGTTAGTAATTGTTTGTTTTGATATGTATTTCAGACAGTACATGAACAGACGAGGAGGGTTCAACCGTCCGCTGGACTTCATTGCGTGAATGTTGATTCTTGGCCAGTGTATGAGTGACCGAGCATCTTAATTAACTCTTAATCTGTATTGCATGTCAGCATGCAGATATGTCTGCCTTTCCAGTTTGGACGGCATCATTACAATATTTTGAATCAGATTCTGCCAGTGCAGTGTAGTGAAGCATATGCCAAGCTTTCCTGACCACTAATTCAGACAACTGTTGACCTTGCTACAGGCATTGTTATCAAGGCAGTCAATTTCTAATTATATTTACTCTTTTTCACCGTAACATACAAAGGTTACATTTGGAAAGTTTTAATGAAAAATTGTAATGTTTACTCTCACGCGGAACTAAACATTCTTATAGTGATCAATATTTTCCTAAATTATTTCAAAATGCCTCATGTCTTGCATCTGTGTATTCTTAACTGATAAATGTGTAGGATTCTGATATATCTACTCATTTCTGTACCAGTATGTCTTTGTTGTGACAATCCATTCCCATTGTCACAATACAACGTTCCTGAAATGATGTGGACAGTTATGTCATCCACTATATGAGGTAGATGTTGATATCATCCCGGGATGATGTGCCACTAGTTACTTCTAGAGCTTATTCTAGAGCCTAATGGTTAAAGCGTTGGCTCGTCACGCCGAAGACCCAGGTTCGAATCCCCACATGGGTACAATGTGTGAAGCCCATTTCTGGTGTCCCCCGCTGTGATGTTGCTGGAATATTGCTAAAAGCAGCGTAAAACCAAACTCAGTCAGTCAGTCAGTCCTTTGTTGTTCTTGGCTCGGATATATGGTTTGGGTTGGGATGATGGTGATTGAAAAATACTAATTTTTTGTCACAGGTATACATAGTAGTGAAAATGTGCAACTTGTGACTCAGTATACTTACTCTAGGTTACCATGGTTACCAAAAACGCACACTGAAGCAGATGCAAAATGAGTTTTGGGTTTTCAACATTAGCATTTACATTACAGGAAAGCAAGGTTATTAATATAGTTTCAACAGGATAATTACAGAAATGATAAATGTGAAGGCTGCCATAGGATTATTCTAATGTAGTATTGCCCATATTGGTGATAATTTTATATAGGATGGGGAAATTCTGTTTGCATTGTCTGTGTTGTAATGCGTGAAAGTTGACAGTGTTTTGGGTATGACAGGGAGGTAACTCTGTTTTCTTGATGTCATGTGTCTAGGTATCAATATACTCAATTTCTTTATCATTGTCAGTTTTTTAAAGAAATCATTCAAATCATCTTTGGTATATCAACAGTGTTATGAAAGACAAAACTAGAAACAGGCCTTTTTTTAGTACAATGCACACCTGTCATGTTATGTTTTAACTGTTTGTAATATTGAAATGTCAAGCCTCTTGCTGAAACCCAGAATGATATGAAAGACTGGTTGATGATTCGATGTTCTTGGTGTAGTGTAAGCCTCTGTGTGTATTACACACTTTTATAAACACAGTCATTCTTCATATGTAAATAAAATATATCTGTCTGAAGAAGTCTTGATTTGTTTCTTTATGTAAGAAATCTGTGTTGAAAATGATGTCAATCAGTGGATTTTCGGGTACAGACCACCCTAATGTAGCTGGAATATTGCTGAGTGCAGGACCGAACGCGTTCCCGAGTTGATACAGCAATACGCCCCCTCTACACCTGTCCTCCACATGTAGGCACATCCTTCGACAGGGAATCATTATTCAAATCCTTATCTTTGATTGTCATCGTTATTGAACAAAACATATGTGGTTGCTATGGCAGTGGTATTAAATTACCGTATTTTGAACCTAATACTGGCTGAAGCACTCCTAATATGTTAGTGTTACGGCAAAGTTTAAGCGACCTATCCGAAGGCTCCGTGGTCCCATAGCACCAGAAGGGATTTCACTTATTCTCGCACGCCGTGAGCATGACGAGCTGATGTACTGACCCCCTATTACACTTGGACCAACTCATATTGCACTTGCTGTCCACGTGTATTTTACGTGCTTGACCACGTCAGCGTGTAATTGTCCACGGCGTTAATTCCACGTGGAGTTGGCTCCTTCCGGATGCAGTGTATCGTGGAAACGTTTTCAAAGTAAAACCAGTTCGATGGCAATAATTCTCCTACAGTAATGTACAGCAAAAGATTAGTTTCACTACAGGAACGGATACCCTTTGACATCATAACGTTTCTCGGGTTTTAAATGCATGCAGATTCATGGTGTAAATCCAGCTAGGGTCCATGGAGGTAGCAAAAGTACTGTAAGTCCCCATGGTTTCTAGTATGGTGATCTACCTTCTGTTGTTGGCAACCTATAGCCCATTTTTATATTGTATTGTTCTATATAATTATTTCGTTTTATTATAGTATGTTAGTTTTACATTAATATCTGTGGTATACTAGTAGTTTTACTGTTCTTCACCAACAGACTTTTAATTCCTAATTGTATTGATCTACATGTATGATATAATAATTAATTGTTTTCGTCACGAAATGGCTGAAATATTGCCGATGTGACGATAAATATGAACTCACTCACTCACTCATGCAGATTCCCGAGTGATGCCTGGCAAAACATCCTCGTTGAACACAGGAAATAATTGCCAGCTGTGTGTAAATGTGGACTGTCAAGTGAATCATTGAATGTTGAAGTTCAATAGAATCCAGTCCTATCATTTGCTTTCATAAAACTCCAGTTAGAATTTTGCTAGACATAGTCTAGAGTGCACGTTTTTAGTGATCTAACATAAAATGTTTACAAGGCATATTCACAAAATCACCCCTCTGGTAACCGAGAAGCCGGTGTTTTACATGCATTTACACATTAAGAGTTAATATAATGTTGATATGTTTCAGTTTAATGCTATGCTTTAAGAAGGACTGTATGACGGGACTGATGTAATCGCGCAACCCTCAGATTTGAAGGTTTGCCTATTTAAAATCTGTGATACTTGAGCTGAAACATGTACATGTAACTATGACTACTGATTACATGCAAGTATAGCCATGTAATAGCCCACTGAATACAGATTGTAGTTTGCCTCACAACACAGACACATCGACAACAACATGTAGATCTTTGGACAGAAACACGTTGTCTTAAGTAGTAAGTTCGCCATGGCATCATCCAGCGTCATGAAAGGATCTGCTGTTCGTGGTTCGAATCTCACGATAGTTAACCGTAGCCAGGCCCATACACTTGCCCGTTTTGTTTCACCAAAGCTAAAACCGTCCACGCAACTGTTCCACCATGCTAAACAGACTCACATATGTCACAATATATGCCACATGTTTTGATATCTACATACATGTATAAGTACATTTCATGTTCTGATACTTATTCTGCATATCTGTATCCCAATCCAGATTTATCCTGTGCACCACCAGGGAGGGGCGTGTGACCCACACATCAGATCATTTCTGAAGTAAGTTAGTGAACCTCGGCCGTGTTTACCCGGCGTCTGTTCGACGAACAACATGCTTCAGACAGAAGGATGCTTCAGACATCGCCCTTGATCTTGGCATGTAGTCTATTGGTATCAAAGGACCCAGTGTTTGACTGTTGCCCTCTTTCGGCTTCAATATTTTGAAACGAGGAGTTTACCTAACGCTAACACAGAAGTCATGAGAATACTGATGATTCACGACATTGAAAACGATGGTAATGTAGGCAGGATATGTCAGTAGAGTAGGCAGGATATGTGAGTAAAGTAGGCAGGATATGTGAGTAATGTAGGCACGATATGTGAGTAAAGTAGGCACGATATGTGAGTAATGTAGGTACGATATGTGAGTAATGTAGGCAGGATATGTGAGTAATGTAGGCGATATGTGAGTAATGTAGGCAGGATATGTGAGTAATGTAGGCAGGATATGTGAGTAATGTAGGCAGGATGTGTGAGTAGCCTAATGTAGGCAGGATATGTGAATAATGTAGGCAGGATATGTGAGTAGCCTAATGTAGGCAGGATATGTGAGTAAAGTAGGCAGGATATGTGTAAAAAAATGCGCTTAAATCCGAGCTTAATCGCCCACTACGTCATCCAAACATCGACGACACATTTCTGAAAGGAACCTTCTAGTTGGTGACATAAAATAATAAATAAATAAATCTATTGTAAATACTTACACGAGTAAACACTGGAAACTACGCTCATTGATCTATTCCTATTGACATACACCCGTCTGAAACGTTAACCTTATATTGACAGTATCTGCACAGACAGGCGCACGAGCATAACCCGCTCTGCAATTCACTTGTAATAATAGAAACATCACGAAAAATACCACTGCTGTATAAAAGAATCTTTTCAATCAATCTGTACAATGTATATAAATATATATATTTCTTTATTGCAATACATATACAACCAACACATGCTATTGTTTCCCTCCACGTGATATGTGGAAGCATGCATGACTCTTACAAATATCCTTTACAGAAAGGCCCATTCAAAATATCCGGCCAAACAATACAGCTGTCAAAGCAAGATGTCTGGCCCCGTGGGCTCAGATTGATCAACGCAGTACACCTGTCAGAGCTGCTCTACAGATCCAGTAAGTATATGTTACAGTGCGTTTACCAATCACAAGCGTAGACACTGATAAGCACAGTCAATCGGTTTCAGGACGACGTCATAAAACAATTCGTGACGTCATGAACAGTGGATGATTTGTCATTTTGTGCGATTGTCCCCTTCCCAATGACGTAACATATCGGCGAGAAAAACATTTCATCCACAAACGTCCGATACGACAATAAATTATGCCAGCCATATATGGATATGTCCTAAGTATGTGCACTTAATGTCCCATATATTTTCTGATTATACTTGGGGTGTCAGTGTTTATGTTATCGCCCTGTATTTTACCTCTGGTCCATGTACCGAAATGACCTTCCTGCCAAGATACATTTACATTGGTATAAACACGTTTGTTAAACAATAACGTCTCTGTTGTTATATAATAGTGAGAATATTTATAACACGCCTTTTCAAGGCAAGATATCCCACTCAAAGCGCACAATCTGTTCAATTTATTACCCCGGATAACCCAAACTCCCTTTTAGGCGCTAGAAGGTTAATAGTCTCACGACTTGTTTCACCGGATGCCCATTATCTGCTGGGTGAACAGAGGCAATTTTGAACAAACTCAACTACGTAGATCGATGCTCATGCTGCTGATCACTGGTTTGTCTGGTTCAGACTCGATTTTTTACAGTTGGAATATTGCTGAGTGCGGCGTAAAACTAAACTCACTCACTCACTCACTCACTTTTGGTACTGCCATAGTGATACATTTGTATTGATTTGTGAACGTGTTACCTTATCACATTTCTGAGTCGTTTGTTGGTTTCACACCTGGACTGATTGCCGGTACACCTCTCAGTTTCAAATAGGGAATCAACATTAAAATGTATTTCTATTGAGATGTATTGCTCACCACGTGACATGTGTTCCATCAAATACAATGATATTCTAGGCTATGAAGTCGAAATACTGAATAAATATATGTCATATCATATAACAAGACATGTGGAGGACGAATCCAAACTGGACGCATCTCTGGCAGATGCTATATCAGAAACAATTCCTATAGTGGCTTGTACCATATGATGGTGTGTTTTACTTAACAATTGCCGTGCCTTTGAATGTGTTTCGCAAGCAGCTGGAATCATCATGCACTATTTGATAGTGGTTCATACACCCATGCTAATGATATGATCACGATTATCTTCTCTTGCATGTACGTACCCTGTCATCATTGAGCGTTATGGATCTTGCGCCATCTGGTATTCAACATGGTCAATTCCTTGTGTAAACACGGCAGGTATCATGTTTACATGCGACCATGCCTTGGTGCTCCATAATATACTGGTATACACCATTGATTCGGCAATCCTGTTTGTAAATAGCAAATATTGATTACACGTCAGTAAGGGAATGAAGGATTTAATATGACATGAAATCTATTATTTCTACCTTCCAGCGATCATGGTGTGAGTTGTTCTGATTTCAAAAATAAATATCAACAACAACGGTTCTTCAAGTTACGGATCAATCATATTGTTCTCTTGCGCTCGTAAATGACGTGCAAGGGCTCGTATCGATGGCAACGCTTGGAATGGAGTCAGATCTCTCCATTTCTCGACAAACGAAACTAACAATAGACATGGAAACAAACAAAACACCAATACTGTAATCCAAATATAAATGCCAGCCAAACTCGCCAAAAGTCATTTTAATTTAACACAAAATCAAACAAATTTAACTGTAGACTAAAACATAAAAAATGTTAATGCAAAAAAAATCTTAAAAACAGGCCCGAAGTATTTTATAACTGAAGGAGCATCGGCTGCGGCCATAGAGTGATGTCTCTAGCGGCTGGAGTCAATGGCTGTTGACGATAGAGCACCGACCCGGGATATAACTTGCAGATGTCCTATCTGCTGGTGACGTTACAAAGCCCACTTGGTGTATTTGTCTGGCTTTTTCTTTGCATCAACGATTGACGGTATGTCTTCAACTCACGGAGTCATGTGTGGACAAACACAACTCCGGGTCTTGTCAACGTTTGAGGACTGCACTTTTTTACCTCCTCAGATCAATACACACTCAAATCAGATATAATGGTCATGTCGCGTCCGGAGTGACGGGAAAACCGGACACAACGTTTACCACAGGCTGAAGCTGCTGTAATATTGCTGGACATGAAGGGAAAACTGACAATTGAAAAGATGAAGTCACCCCTCTTCTTATACAGTGTTATGGAGATTTTATCGTCTGCATTTATGCTTAGATCCAAATATATCACACGAGGTTGTGTCACTGATCTCCTATATTTCTAGTTCTAGGCCTAGATTTTCGAAGCTCTCTTAGCGCTAAGATAGTCGTAAGTGTCATACATTAACATTAACTTGACTATCTTAGCGCTAAGAGAGCTTCGAAACAAATCTAGGCCCAGAGGTGGGTAGGTCAGTGGAAGGGAACATGCAGTTTGATGATACATCAATGATAGCAGATCACTAGACAGACTAGCTATTCTCGAAACGTTCGTAGCCCTACGAACGTCTTAAGCCAACTATTAACACATTGGCTACGATCAAAGTTAAGAATTCTTAGCGCTACGATCGTTTCGAGAATAAGGGCCCAGGGACTAGATTTTCGAAGCTCACTTAGTGCTAAGATAGTCGTAAGTGCCATACATTAACATTAACTTACGACTGTCTTAGCGCTAAGAGAGCTTCGAAAATCTAGGCCCAGGTCCGTACGATCACATTCGTACAATGGTATATGCCTACTTGTTGTTTAACGTCACACGCAGCAATATTACAGCTACATGACATTGACCAATAATAATCTATTCTGGATCAGAAACTCCAGTGACTGATAGTCACCGACGGTACACAGCGCAGTGTCATCCGATGGCCCATGTTACACAGGCTGTGCAGTCGACTTTACAATACTAACATGCGCAGACGTTTACCCTACACTGTACAAACAAGATCTGATGCAATGCTACATATATGTATATACATGTATATGCTTTTCATTGTCATAATAATAAATGAAAGCGACAAAACCCTCTCCACAACCATAAGACATCTCTGCTAAAGCAGAACCAGGTCTAGGATTCCGACAAATGTATGAGCATGTGTTTGTTTGTTTAACGCCGCAGTCAGCAGTAAAACAGCTGCATGACGCCAGCCTGATCATAACTGAATCTGAACCAGATAATCCAGTGATTGACATCATGAGATACAATGACAGAGCACGTACTTATGAATCACAGTCAAGCAGCGATGTTATCAGCTGGTCGTGAAGCGGTGGGCCTATGCTACCCACGGGTGGCACCCATCTTAAAAATGCACAAAGACTAGCCACCTGTTCACCTGAAAATATTCGCGAACGTATGGGACAAGTGAAAATAGGGCACTGCACATGGCATCATTTTTGTCACTGATGCACCCAATTTGGAAATGTCCTCCGCATGTCTACCATAACGCCTTTTGAAAGCTTTCTGAGGTCTTGAATGTTGCAACCTTGATCCAGTAACTGTTGTGCATAGTCATATGACGCTCTTGGTAAAACGAGCAGGCTCGATTGTACCTCGTAGGTTGTGAAATGTAAACGCCTAGTGGTTAAAGCGTTCGCTCGTCACGCCGAAGATCCGGGTTCAACTCCTCACATGGGTGCTCTTGCGTGGTACGTTTGCTGGCCACAGCAGTATCTTTCTCTTTACATGGATTTTACAAACTCTACTGAAATAAGCCCATTGTGCCATTTCGACCTCATCTTGAGAATGTGTTTAACAGTAGTAGTAGGTGTTCGCAAAAATGTGGTTTTGTCTGTAACAGGGACTCAGAAATAAAATATTATTTAAAAGAAACAGAAAAAAAACATGTTGACGGAAAGGTGAGCACCTCCTGCTACACCGGTGGTACCCGTGACGACACAGCTCCATGATCCAATAAAGTTACCTTATGCATTAACTTTAATGATTTGTTCTCAGATTCGACTAACGGTACTTTCCTATTAGCTGAGGGGCCCGTGAAGGAGCACGGAGGGTCAATTTGTCAATACCCCACGTGTCAGGGTCATCACGTGACCACAGATGTGATTCTAATCGATGCCAGCACAACGAACACTTGCTTCATTGAGGAATCACTGTGTGCTGATCACAGGAAACAGGGTCATATGGCGTTAGGGATTAGCTTCAAGTTCCACATCGGACGTAAAGGTGAGGCAGAATTATATAACACAAACTAGGCATTCATTTTTTTGCCCAACAGTTTGTACAAACGTGTACGTATATATCTCAATATACCGGTGAGTGTGTTTAGCTATAGCGTCCATTCAAACTATGCACATAACGTCGTATTGCTCTGTTGTCGACATAAAATATTATCATTCTTGGTGGTCATTGAAACTCAACTGTGTATTCGTCATACAAGGAAGTTGTGGACATGAACGGGTGTGTGCATATATTTCATTAGGCACAACTTATTATAACTTAAACGTATTACTTGTATAATTCGTATTATAAATTCGGCGATTTTTATTTAAATTATAAAGTCTGAACATATTTCAACTCAACACAGATGTGATTTTGATAGATGTTTCTGTTCCTTCAGTGATCCGTGATCAGACCGGCCCAGATCGAGTATAACAAGAGCCACGTATGACATGGAGGGGTCCACGTGCCTGGCGACCTCCACCGGGCGTGTGCTGTCAACATAACAGTGGCGCCTCAAATCGGACGCAGCATGTCGCGGATGAAGAGGTTCATCCTGTTGTTTCTCTTCGCCTACGCTTCAACGACGATCATATTTTTATCTCTGGTTGAAGAAAATCGAAACTACATTGGAAAGATTGGGTGGGGCGATGTGTCCCCCTCAATTCCTTCTGGGGTAAGAAGACTTCGTGACAGCGCCGCTAGCCAGATTCTATCTCACCCACCCAGAACCACACAAATCACCAGAAGGAACAAACGCGTGCGGAACAAATCCCGACCAGGTAATGACAGCGGTCAAAGTAAATATAAATATGGAAGTCCACGGAATAAGTTTGGTATATCCAGCCCTGTTATGTATTCCTGCAAGGATGATGCTAAATATCGCGCAAGGCTAGATGTTGTGTATGTGAAGCTGACGAAGAACATAGCACTATATTCTGCTTATTATGACGCTAGGGAAGATATACCTTATATCAGAATCATAGCTTCTGTTGCAAGACATGCGAAAAACTCAACGTTGTTGTGGTGTCACTTTGACCCAGAAGGAGTGGATACGAACATCTCGCTCGTGACGCAAGTCACGTATTATCAAATGTGTGAAAATCATAACCGGGATATAGGTGGCTGGATTATATCGTGTCAGGTGCCCAGGTGGTATGTGGACAAGGGGAGATCACCATGTGCTGTTAGCGTCTCTCTGTCACCAACAGAGTCCATCACAAACAGCGCTCAGATGTCAATATTGACAACAGAGAAATCAGCGCAGGAAGCTCAAGTTGATTTTGCTGTGTGTGTACCGCCCCTATTTGGTAAAATACGCAAGGATGAGATTGTTCAATTTGTAGAACTTACTCGACTGTTGGGAGCAAACCATTTTGTGTTTTACGTTTATGACGTTAAGCCAGACGTAAAGGAGGTTTTGAAGTATTACGAATCAATGGGAATCGCAACCATCCTCAAGTGGGCTATACCGTCGAGGAACGTAAGATCGATATGGTATTATGGTCAATCTTTGGCAATAAATGATTGCCTCTACAGACACATGGCCACTGTCCAGTATTTAATATTCAACGACGTGGACGAATTTCTCATACCACACGCGCCGGACACACGGACTTGGCGGGACATCGTGGCGGCACATCACATGTTTACCAACACGTGCGCGATGACCTTTAAGAGCACTTTCTTTGACCTAGCTTTCAGATACAACCTGGACTTTGCTGTGAGAAACGTAAGTGTTCTGGACATAACAACACGAGCTGTGTTTTATAGTGACTTTCGGAATAAGGTTTTGGTCGAACCCAGCAAGGTGTTTGAGATGGGAATACATCACGTCAGTAGACCTTGGCCGGACGCTGCTAATTACAGTGTCGTCAATGTGTCTCCTGAGAAGGCATATATTCACCACTACCGTCCATGTAAGACTTTCTCCATGAACTGCTTTCAGGGAACAATTGACACGACTCTTGTGGACAAATACGGAGAGGAATTCTTCATTAAATATAATCGAACAATGAACACTACTCCGCATTAATTTCTTTCACATGTTCCAGAATTTCAGATGACATCACAATATATTCAAAATCACATAACGCGTGATTCAAAATAAGGCGCCTCTTATATTATCAATGTTTTCAGTGGGGTTCTCGTCCCAAAATACCTTCTGTCCTATATGTTTAGGTCATTACCATCCCGATGTGAAAATGTTAGTGTGTGTGAGTGAGTGTGTGAGTTTGAACACTTTCCTTACATCCCAGTGTATCAGTTTGACGTGACAGAAAGCACAAGGAAGTAACTTTTAATTAATATACACATTGACAAAAATATCGCAACATCCCACATTTTACTTTGTATCAGTATGTTACCATTAACCATAGAAAAGGGAATTATTCAAACCCGAATTTAACTTACTATCTTGATAAACTGACCCTTAAGGAATAATTAAATAGCATATCTAAACACAAAAAGAACGTAAAACCGCAGGCTGTTCAGAGAAGCAAATATGGCAAATTGGCTCATTTTGTAGTGCTGATAACAATTGCTGTATGACCTTAACAAGGGAGGTAATGTTTAAGATTCTGGCACACAATACTCAAGAAATCACATCAGTATCAATATACGGGCACATGGTCTATATCTGGAGTAACCCCCGTCTATTTCGGATGTTAGACATGTACCGTTGTCCGTGAAGCCTTGTCTGATCGCAAGAAGATTTAATTTCCAGTCATGTGAGAGGCACCATCACCATCAATGAACGCCCGCCTAACGGTACTTACTCCAAGATATTCTGTTGTGTATATGCAGTGTTGTTGCGGTGCCAAACATGAGATAGTCATGCCAGTCAGTCATGATCAAAATTAATCGACTTTTTTTTATAGTCCGACTAGTGGACCCTTCACCAAGTCCTGTTCCTTTGTGCTCTGGGGATAGCAACTGACGTCTGATAGGTCGTCTGGCTCTATATATGGCCGTTATTTGGCGATTTCAGACCATTCATTTGGACTAACGACGATGTGGAAACCACTCTGTTTTTAATACGAAACTTGACATGAACGGATGAAGTATTGTGATTTTGAGAAGAGCTGTATCCTTCCAAGGAGTTGTCACCCGTGGTCAACGAATTCAAATGATTTTTCAAATTATCGAGCTGCAAGAACAGCTTTCTGAACCTAGGTATTTAATTAACGACGGGTAACCGTATTGCACATGATTCTCGTTTTTGATCGTAGCAGGTGCATACCTCAACTCAGTGTATAGTGGCCACCGGTCAGAGGTATCTAGGGCCCAATAACGTGGAGGCATTGGTGCGTGTGTCAATGTCAGATTACATATTGATTCAGTTATTAAATTTCACAATTCTTGCTGTATGTGAGTTTGTTTTATATTGATCAAAGAGGTATTGAAATGTCTTAATGGCCAGACTTTTACAGGAAGAGTGAATAAAGTCACCGTTCCTGGTTGTCGTTCTTTGCCTATGTGACAGGGACAGTTGTGTCTCATTTACTTGCCGCCTGCTGATTGGATGCTCATCTGAAAACACACATACCCATCAACATTTCAACAGTAACCCGGATATAGTAACAGTAATCTGTTTCCAGATACCAACAGCACTCTACAAAGTTCTGAATATAGTAGGCTAACATGTGTTACTAGGCCCGTTCCGTATTGCTGCTGCCACGTATTGCATTGCCTGTGTCAAATATGAATGTCAAACGATGCCTCCAGTATTTTTCATACATCATTCATTGATCTTGTGATTTCATTACTGATTTCACATTTAAGTTCTATCCGAACCGATTTCTTGTTAGACCTTCCTGTTTTATGTTGGAACCTGCACGTCACAACTCATCCAGTAGTGATATTAAGCAGAACAAATGTATAATTTTGATAGATGTCAACGATCAGTCCATCCATTTTATTGAATGTTAAATATCGTTTCCCAAAGTCAAGGAAACTGAATCTTAGCAAACTTATTGCTGTACAGAATGTATTGTTGCAGATATGACCTAAACTAACTAACACAGGCACGTTAATTGAAAGAGTGCGATTCCTTGAACAGTGGAAACAGGCAAACAATATGCCTGAAAACGTACATGAAAGAAATTGTATGATAGTATTCCATATTGACGAAATCACAATCATCCACCAAGACAGCGATCCTGACCATCCGATCCCGTCAGTCGCCTCCTACGAAAATCATTTGTTGCAGTGCGCTGTTATAGCAGCGCAATAACGGCCGTAACTCGCGTAGATTAACATAGATTTACGCTGCGATTGAATGGGGCTCTGAAGTCCAATTCTAACTGGGATCTTCATAGGGCTATAGGGTCTTAACTCTGTGTAAAATTTGTTACTAGGTCACCATTGTATCAGCTACTGGAACTTTGCTCACGTTTTAAGGGAGAGATACAACAACCATGTATAGCTCACCCAGGTGAGTCTCAGGTACATGAGCAATCGTCAATCTGTAGTAAAAGTTAGGATCTTATAAGAGCTAAAATCGATTTGAGACGGGATTTCTTTCATTACGCTGCCCCGCCATCCTATCCGCCTTTGAAATCCTATCGACGTCGGTAAGGAATATGGATCGGGCGGCCAAATTAGTGGTTGATTTCTGTACAAGTGACTATCGGGAGAGATCAACTATACTCATGCTAATAATGGTTGTCACCCCCTTCAATTTTTTTAATGGAGAGGGGGTGTGGGTTGGGGTGGGGAGGGGGGTGACAACCATTATTGGCATGAGCATATTAACTTTGTTGTGATTTTGACCCCTTCAGCTGTCCAGTTTGTCCGGAGAGCTGAGAGTAGGTTGTTCATCTCCCAGGTCGAGTCAGCCAATGTGGAATGAAATGAAGGTACTTGTCTGGGGCTATACGTAAAGATACGCATGCACGCACGCACGCAAGCACGCACGCACGCACTCTATTAATATTTTAATTGCATACACAATAAGAGTACAATAAAATCAATATCATAGAATACAAAAAATATAATTATTATATTGTGCATATTTATACACAGGAGACACTTGGCTTATCTCGAACATCGGGCATATTTATACACAGGAGACTCTTGGCTTATCGCGAACATCGGGCATATTTCCGAGAATTTTAAGGAATTTGATTTCACGTTAGTTCATTGTATTGATAGCAATATTTTGTAATCTACATCTTCGTATTTCTATAATTGTTTGTTTAAACACGTCAGTCACCAATATTCCTGGTATATGACAAGGCTCTGTAAATAATCATAACTTGTCCAGACAATTCAATGGTTGTACTTCATATTTACCCTTCTTGGTCCAGCACTGTGTTTGATTGCTCGTCTAGTTTCGACTGAAGGTCATCGCGAACACAACATGTCCTGTCACCGGAATGACACAATCTTCAGCTTCCGAAGAACAGCGACTGAGGTTCACGAACTGGTGCTCAAGGAATCTTACAGTGTCGTCCTGTCCACACAGTTGTTGGCTCTACATTGTCAGTGATGTTCGGTGTATGGTTGAATGGAAATCAAATGGAATAGATTTGAAAACTTGGTGCAAATTATTAGCAATATCGACACCGCTATTCGCATCAACAAACGTGGCTGCTGAATTTGATGAAGATTTTCCGTACGGAAAATTAAATATATATTTTTGAATTGATAATAATGACCATCTGTATCATAACTTGGGGCGGGAACGCTCTGTTGGAAATATCGTTGACGTAAATGTAGCAATATTTACAGTCATGTAAGCTCTGATGGAAATATCGTTGACGTAACTGTAGCAATATTTACAGTCATGTAAGCTCTGATGGAAATATCGTTGACGTAACTGTAGCAATATTTACATTTCATGTAAGCTCTGATGGAAATATCGTTGACGTAACTGTAGCAATATTTACAGTCATGTAAGCTCTGATGGAAATATCGTTGACGTAACTGTAGCAATATTTACAGTCATGTAAGCTCTGATGGAAATATCGTTGACGTAACTGTAGCAATATTTACAGTCATGTAAGCTCTGATGGAAATATCGTTGACGTAACTGCTGTAGCAATATTTACAGTCATGTAAGCTCTGATGGAAATATCGTTGACGTAACTGTAGCAATATTTACAGTCATGTAAGCTCTGATGGAAATATCGTTGACGTAACTGTAGCAATATTTACAGTCATGTAAGCTCTGATGGAAATATCGTTGACGTAACTGTAGCAATATTTACAGTCATGTAAGCTCTGATGGAAATATCGTTGACGTAACTGTAGCAATATTTACAGTCATGTAAGCTCTGATGGAAATATCGTTGACGTAACTGTAGCAATATTTACAGTCATGTAAGCTCTGATGGAAATATCGTTGACGTAACTGTAGCAATATTTACAGTCATGTAAGCTCTGATGGAAATATCGTTGACGTAACTGTAGCAATATTTACAGTCATGTAAGCTCTGATGGAAATATCGTTGACGTAATCTGTAGCAATATTTACAGTCATGTAGTCATGTAAGCTCTGATGGAAATATCGTTGACGTAACTGTAGCAATATTTACAGTCATGTAAGCTCTGATGGAAATATCGTTGACGTAACTGTAGCAATATTTACAGTCATGTAAGCTCTGATGGAAATATCGTTGACGTAACTCATGTAAGTAGCAATACTGTAGCAATATTTACAGTCATGTAAGCTCTGATGGAAATATCGTTGACGTAACTGTAGTAACTGTAAGCAATATTTACGTAAGTCATTTGTAAGCTCTGATGGAAATATCGTTGACGTAACTGTAGCAATATTTACAGTCATGTAAGCTCTGATGGAAATATCGTTGACGTAACTGTAGCAATATTTACAGTCATGTAAGCTCTGATGGAAATATCGTTGACGTAACTGTAGCAATATTTACAGTCATGTAAGCTCTGATGGAAATATCGTTGACGTAACTGTAGCAATATTTACAGTCATGTAAGCTCTGATGGAAATATCGTTGACGTAACTGTAGCAACATGTAAGCTGATGGAAATTTACAGTCATGTAAGCTCTGATGGACCTATCGTTGACGTAACTGTAGCAATATTTACAGTCATGTAAGCTCTGATGGAAATATCGTTGACGTAACTGTAGCAATATTTACAGTCATGTAAGCTCTGATGGAAATATCGTTGACGTAACTGTAGCAATATTTACAGTCATGTAAGCTCTGATGGAAATATCGTTGACGTAACTGTAGCAATATTTACAGTCATGTAAGCTCTGATGGAAATATCGTTGACGTAACTGTAGCAATATTTACAGTCATGTAAGCTCTGATGGAAATATCGTTGACGTAACTGTAGCAATATTTACAGTCATGTAAGCTCTGATGGAAATATCGTTGACGTAACTGTAGCAATATTTACAGTCATGTAAGCTCTGATGGAAATATCGTTGACGTAACTGTAGCAATATTTACAGTCATGTAAGCTCTGATGGAAATATCGTTGACGTAACTGTAGCAATATTTACAGTCATGTAAGCTCTGATGGAAATATCGTTGACGTAACTGTAGCAATATTTACAGTCATGTAAGCTCTGATGGAAATATCGTTGACGTAACTGTAGCAATATTTACAGTCATGTAAGCTCTGATGGAAATATCGTTGACGTAACTGTAGCAATATTTACAGTCATGTAAGCTCTGATGGAAATATCGTTGACGTAACTGTAGCAATATTTACAGTACATGCTACTGGGTACAGTACTCTCCTGACTGATGCACTAATTACACGACGCCCTCGTCCCACCCCTCCACCCCGGTATACTAAATGGTGGGGCCCTTTGACAACTGTTACAGATATGTAAGCAGTAAGGAAATGTGAAATATCCTCCTTCGCGATCGCACAAATAATTGGCTTTTCTGCTGTCAAATGTGTCTCGAAATGTGAAGAGAGATGTTTAGAGCAATGCATACATACAGATATATTTAGATAATACACACGTATGCCTATATCAAGCCAATACAGGCACACAATGTGTGTAAACTAAACTGACAAATTATACTACTTTTGAACAAAACAAAAGACATAAGGCTATTCCATATTAAAAATGAAACTTTACAAATACACATATGTCACGACTATTTGCATTTTTTACATATATCATATCTCAAATGAATAGAATTGTTAAATATTATTTATCTTAAGTGTCTTTCCAGGAGATGTAGTAATACTGAGACTTCCTCTTTACGGAAACGCCACAGTGAAAGAAATAGGTCCATGTCATCACTGTATTCCTAAATATTATAGGTCATCTTAAATCAACAAGCATAACATATTTTTAACTATTTTCTCGTATTCTGTATTTAACTACGCCTGCAGACTATGTCCGTGTAATTATTAAAGACACGCCTCGGGTCTGCCATGTCGATAAGAAGATACGCCCTCTGCAAGTCAGGACACTGTTACATTTCTCCTGTGTATGGCGAACAAACACAACTCGTGACAGTATCCGCTTCGATAGTATTTTCTTGTAAGTTGTATCGCTGCGAGTAATTCCTAAACCCTTCACTCAAGCCTGCCTCAATAAATCCGGCTAATTTAAGAACCTAGGAGGTACAGTTCAATATCAAAATAGCCGAGCTGAACCGAGGCTAGCGTAACTTCGTGATCCGACCACTTTGTATGTTTAACGCCATGCGCTGGTTCCTGCACCAAACACACGTACAGATGGTTATAAAATGCTGTCATCCCGAGAGGCATCGAACAAGTGGATTCAACGCCGGAGCTAGCAATTTCGGGAACGTACAGGTCCTACTCCCAGTGGGCAGTCTGCAATCTGCTAATTTCGCGAGAAATGTCTAAACGAGGGAGGAAGGATTGCTGAGTTTTGTGTGCAAATATTGAATTACTCACTAACGCCACTCGCTATTGGAGGGACGGACACAGAAACGCTGGGAGATTGGAGTGGGTTAGAAGAACACACAGTGTGGGACTTGACGCAAACATGGTGAGTGCCATTCCGTATAGATATTTACAGTTTCTCTACAGGGAAAACCCTTCAGTGGTTTAACACAACGATTTGTAGGTTTATCCGTGTATTTGTAGATCATTGATCTTTTCTGTCAGTAATCTCCCGCAGCATTACGTAAGGTGACATTGGCTGACTCATTCACATCAAAAGAAATCATGTTTGAGGAACATTGTTTGGCTTTCATATTTTGAAAATGTGTTTCCGTAGTATGTGTTTTGGGGATTAAATTTTTTAATTTATGTTTTTGTCTTGAGATAATATTTGTTGAGCTGTACTGAGAGTGTGTTTGTAAACTATGTCTTGACAAAGTGTTAACTGAGTTGTGTATGGAGGAAGTATTAATTAAGCATTGGGTCAGTTTGATGTATCAGTAGTACACGTAAAATCACTTGCAGCCGATTATTTACTTGCCTTTGCATGTGTCTGTGATGGGTGCCAGCTGTTGGGTATAATACGCTCACCTCCTTGTGAAAACCTGGTACTATCCCTATCTCATAATAACTCACATACACATGCTCAGGATACAGTCGGAATCGTACATTCGACTCTACTTTCAGCATATACGTCTTTGAGCTATGCAGTAGGTTTTGTGGCTTTTATTATTCATTCTGTTGTTGAGTTCTTGGCGTTGATATCGTGTAAAGAATATAAGTGTCATTGGTGTATGAAGAAACGTTGTCATTTAAAATGGAAGAAATCAAAATATCAAAATGTAAATATTTTCTTTCAAAGATTTACCCGAGAATACCGCGTGCAGCGTTCTTTGTTCTCATCCCCGCCATCCTGATTGCCCTGTGCAGTGGAGAAGGTAAGATCGCATGTACATTGTGTCATCTACTATCATCATCATCGTCGTCGTCGTCACCATGAGCCATATCTGTCCAATGGGCGAACGGATACTTCCTACATCTGTGTTACTTATCATTGACACATACACTCTCTGACTGACGTCCTATCTGAGGACAACATTTAACTGAAAATTTACACAATGTTATTTATAGTTGTTATATTTAAATAGAACGAGTTTTCAGACAGGAACAGTTCGATTAGAATCACAGACCTAACAACGGCAAGTATTCCGGCACAATCAGCCATGGAAACAATGGTCCCATCGACTGAACTCGGTGACAGGAATCTATTGAGAATACCTAGGGTATCGAACTGGAGAAAGTCAATATTGTATTGTCAACTTGGAGGTAGATCGGTAATTTACTTGTTTAATTTACGTACAAATACAGATCAGATATGTAGTATGTAGACGCTGATGTTTACTCCTGGGTGTCACAGAGTACAGTACCTCGTGATGCTCGCAGTCTCATATGTCTGAATTGTGAATTGTGACAACCATAATATTTCGACTGGTGAGCAAGACTATTTACTCAGTCGACCATTCCCTACGGTCACAGAGACTGCAGGCTTATTGACGTTTCCCCAAAGTTGCTAAGACACATTTCTCTCTGGACTGAAGCCCTGCCATTGCCCATGGAGACATTTTCGCTTGAAATATCTAGACGAGTTAGTTTAAAGTCTTGTTTAATAGGCCAAATGGACGTTTATAAAACATTGATATACATCTCTCCCATCAACCGCCCAGCAACATTACAGCAACATTATTGCTGCGAGGAAGAAGCTTTACCCATGTCGGGAAACAAATTCGGGTCTTCGGAGAGAGAGCTGAGCGTTCTGACCACTAAGCTACTCTGGGTTCACACGCAAAACTTCAGCCACCTGTAACCTCACCCGACAATATTGCTGCGATGTGTCACCCACAATACTGACACCTTGTAGTCCTTCTATTCACGCAAATTGTCGATTTTGTTAACATAAACATAATCTATAATGCATTCAATGAGGAAACAATTATAAATACTTGGCAACGGTCTTCCGATCATCGACCTTTATACAGGATCGTATTGAAACACCTCCAACCAGTATATACCAGTTGGTTAACACTTCGCGTTACGCTATGTCTGGGATATATCTTATCATACCGCCCCAGATAGATACAGGCGCTGGAATATCATAAAGTACATTTACCTTGGGAATCGTTATGTGCGAAGTATGACGGTGTATATGGGACATTTTATCAAGCACTCAGTGTGATGCTATATGTCGGTCTTCCAGTAGAGTTACAGATAATTGGAGCCTCGTGAGATGATGACGAGATCACCGTGAGATGAGACGAGATCACCATGAAATGATGAGTAAACATATGCTGACTTTGTCACGTGAACAAATATTGGTATACGACCTTTATGTTACTGGTCAATATGTGTAACGTTACCTGTTCACACAATGTAAGAGCTTTTTTACTCCAAAATCTCAATCATTACATTGAAAAACCATTTAGAATAACACGAGGATGTCCTTTCTATTCCTGTATGAAATGTCGTTATCGAGAAGCTAGTGGATGAAGGGGCGGGTTTCAGTATAGAGATATACACGCCATTACTAAAGGAGCTCTTTGAGACAAGCAACTGATAGGAACGTGTAGGTCATAGGAATACATGTAGTTCGATATAGGTAACAATTCGAGATATCCAGGGGGAACGTACATTTAGATATCAGACTATTGAGAGGGAACGTGAAGGTCACGGGAATGCTTCGATATAAGATATATGTCGAGATAACGCTATGTAATTTACCAGCAAAGGTCAAACATGTCGATGTGAAAGGGTAGCTCAAAGGAATGCTTCGATACAAGACAAACGTGGAGATATCGCCATGCAATTTATGAGCAAATATCAATATGTTGATCAATCTATATCAATATGTTTCGAGGTTACGATATCGTCTGATGACACACACTCAGTCAATGGTATTTAAACAGCTGAGAACTGTAGGTGCTGGCTTCAGACCAAACACAGAAACATTTCATTGTTGTAGTCTTTTGGAACCCGTGAAGACCAGGGTTAGATTTGATCTTCAGTAACCCATGCTTGTCGTAAGAGGCGACTAACGAGATAGGTTGGTCAGACTTACTGACTTGGTTGACACATGTCATCGTATCCCAACTGCGTAGATCGATGCTCATGCTGTTGATCACTGGATTGTATGTTCCAGACTCCGCCATACAGCTTGAATATTGCTGAGTGTGGTGTAAAACTAAACTCACTCACTCACTCACTGTAGTTGCTATTTCCTATTTGACTTTTTAACCTTAACAATTGACATGCCTTTAAATGTGTTTGTGACGGGTGTCAAGGGATACGATCGCCTTATTACCAACACCTGGTGTTCACTATTCAGAAACACATGTTTATGATAAAATCTGAATTTTACAAGAGTCCATTCTTTTTGCGGATATTTCTTGATGCTTTGGACAGGATTTTGCCGCTTACATTTACTTCAGTCTTGTATTGTTTAACGCCGTACTGGGTTATAACACAGCGTTATGAGTGACGGTGCCAGGGAGACGTACACGAGGACCCTCCCTGTCGTGCAGTGCGGTCCCCTGTGTGTAATACAGTCAGGCAACAGGTCGATACTTCCACATTCACAAAGACTTCGCGGGCTGTGTTACCAGCACGGGAGAGAAAAAAATGGGTTTGGTGTCTCCATGCAAAATGTCCTTCATTTCCTTTAACATGACTCTACCATAACGTTAGCTGACAGTGAGAGGTAAATGAATCGATTCACCGGCATGAATGGTGCACCTTCTAACTCGGAAACATCAATACTACATAACGTATCGGAAGTGACCTAATGTTCAAGGAGTGCTTCAAGTGATGCTTTTCCATCAATGATCTGGGTGATCTCGTACCCAACACCCCCGGGCTCTGTGTCACCGTCACGTGGTATCAGTCCCCTGTGATCACGTGATCATACAACTCTCACATGCCCCATCTTGTAATCGTATATGACCCAACCGTGCAATTCCGATGAGAGTCGCAATGCCCCTTTGAAAGCAGCTGTTGTATAGACAAACCTAGAAGGGTCCTGGTGCAGTTTCATGAGCAATCCATTTGTTATGGTTTCCTGGTGTTTACGGTACAGATGTGAGGGTGGCATCGATTACTGTTACGATGACATTGAGTCACACACATATTCATCCAACTCTGTATGACTCACACACAATGTTAGTTACAAGACAAGAAAGTATTTAGTGATTCACTCACTGGTATTCAGACAAACATGAATGAATTACAAGACATTTTTCTGGATTGTTCATGTTAAATTAACTAAGGCTTTTTCTCACCAACAATGATTGTATTCCCAAAACAGAAATAAAATCCACCGCAATGGCGGGACGATGGGTGTAGCCTTGTGGTTAAAGCGTTCGCCAGTCACGACGAAGGACCGTGTTTTGTTCCGCACATTGATACAATATGTGAAGCCTATTTCTGGTCGTGACTTTGCTTGAGTATTGCGGCGTAAAACCATACTCACCCATATCACAGTGGGGATCATCCATGATTATTGATACAAACGAATGAAATAAGTCTTGAATCTAAGATACAGCAACTTAGAAACTTAGAAAATATATATATTACCTGTAAGGACTGACAACATAGTTACACCGGCATGCTTGCTGTTGCAAGTATTACACTCTTGTTTGTTCCACTGCTTGCTGTTGCAGTATTACCCTGCTTGCTGTTACAATATTATACTGCTTGCGTTTGCAGTATTAACCTGCTTGCTGTTACAATATTATACTGCTTGCTGTTGCAGTATTACCCTGCTTGCTGTTACAATATTATACTGCTTGCGTTTGCAGTATTAACCTGCTTGCTGTTGCAGTTGTACACTACTTGTTTTGGAAGTATTACAATGTTTGATCTTACACTGTTTGCCCTTCCAGTACTACACTGTACGCCATTCCAGCATTACACAGCTTGCTGTTCTAGTATTACGCTCTCAGCCGTTCCAATATTACACAGCTTGCTGTTCTAGTATTGCACTCTAAACCGTTCCAATATTACACAGCTTGATGTTCTAGTATTGCGCTCTAAACCGTTCCAATATTACACAGCTTGATGTTCTAGTATTGCACTCTAAACCGTTCCAATATTACACAGCTTGCTGTTCTAGTATTGCACTCTCAGCCGTTCCAATATTACACAGCTTCCTGTTCTAGTATTGCACTCTCAACCGTTCCAATATTACACAGCTTGCTGTTCTTATATTGCTCCCTAAGCCGTTCCAATATTACACAGCTTGCTTATCTAGTATTACACTCTCAGCCGTTCCAATATTACACAGCTTCCTGTTCTAGTATTGCACTCTCAGCCGTTCCAATATTACACAGCTTGCTGTTCTAGTATTACTCTCTCAGCCGTTCCAATATTACACACCTTGCTGTTCTAGTATTACACTCTCAGCCGTTCCAGTATTACACAGCTTGCTGTTCTAGTATTACACTCTCAGCCGTTCCAATATTACACAGCTTGCTGTTCTAGTATTGCACTCTAAGCCGTTCCAGTATTACACAGCTTGCTGTTCTAGTATTACACTCAGGTTACAAGACAATCTTTTTCATCTGTATATCACAGGTTTTACGAGGACGATGTTTATTTTGTTTATGGCTGCTACTTATTCTGATGTATATCGACCATCTTGTCGGAGAGGGCTTTTACGCAAAGTTTATGTTTATTTGTATAACAAGGATAATAAATTCTGGAGAGGCTGACTGACGGAGTACACACCATATGGCCTTTGACGGAATGCAGGTGTTCAGTGCCAGAACCCCCTTCCCTATGTTCATGTGACGTAGCATATGTGGCTATGTACGTAGATATATTGGTGGATGTTTGTGTGACAGATGGAAGGATGATGGTTTGATAGACGATGAACCTGCAGATGGATGGTGACTAAGATGAATAGATACACGGTATGGTAGAAAAACGGATGGAAGGATAACACTGGGAGTCCTAAGCGTGAATGGACGGACATATTGGTGGATAAGATTGGTAGATGGATCCTTTGATGAACTGGTCGAGATATAGATCTCAAGCGTTAAACATTTAGACAGACAGACAGACAGACAAGTTTATTCAGTAAAAGGCCACAGGCCCATCATACAGTCATTTGCATATGATATAGATAGTTTAGTGCACATGCTGCGTAAGAGGAACATTTCTAATGCGCTGAAGTACATGATACAGGAAAATACTGACATCTCTTATGATACAATCATTATGTGTTTTCATAATGTTAATAAAATTGGCATTTGGATCAAAATCAGTCAAATATTTCTGAATATATCTTAACCTTAAATCAGAAAAACGTTCACACTTAAGGAGTACATGGAATTCATCTTCAATAACATTTTTGTCATCCAATTTACAAAATAGACATAGTCTCTCGTTGTAATTAACTTTATTGTATCTACCAGTTTCAACAGCTAAATTAAAATTTCCACATCTAAATTTAGAGAGTGCAGATCTGAGATGTAAAGGAATATCAGAATTTAAATATCTTTCCACATTTAAAAATGTCTTAAATTGGGAATAATAAAACACTTATTTGAATTTTGAATTGAAGTGGACCAACATTGTTTAAGATTATCCGAAAGTCTCTGCTTAAACAAGGATATGAAATAATCAACATTGCCAACATCCTGACTGATCCATGCATAGCCAAAACCATACTTAAATAAAATATTTTTGACACAAGTTGCCCAAGTAGTGCGGCCAACATCATCTAAGGACTTGAGCATAATATAACAATGTTTTGGCAGTCTATCATAAGGCATATACAATAGGTGACACCAGTATTTAATTACTTTAGTCATATAAGTAATTTGTAGAGGAGGTCTGCCACAATCACCAAGAGCCATGTTATTACAGGTAGATTTACCAACTTTCAAGAAATATTTACAAAATTTTACCTGAACAGACTCAATGATGCTACAATAGTTAGTACCCCAAATCTCAGACCCATAACACAAAATAGGTGAAACCATGCAGTCAAAAATCTTAAACAAGTCTTTACAATTTACTCTTCCCATCTTTTTTTGAAAACCATTTACAGAAAATATCGCCTTGTTAGCTTGAGATACCAAACAGCTTTGCGCTTTACTCCATACCAGCTTTGGTGTAAATACAAGTCCTAGATATTTATAAAAGGATACAGTTTCAATAGGATTGCCATTATAGGACCACTTTTCATATTCCCGTAATGGCCCACCATTTCTAAAGACAAGAACTTTTGTTTTACTAAGATTAATTGACATTCCAGTTTGTTCACAAAAACATTCAAGTGCATTTATCTTCTTTTGTAACTGATTACAAGTATCAGAAAGTGCAGAAACATCATCAGCAAACATAAGTGAACACAAATTGTTAAAATCAGATGAAACATTAACACCTATACCACCTTCCTGTTCCATTAGGGAAAACCACTTATTAATAAATATGATAAACAGCTGTGGGCTTAACACACAACCCTGACGGGTACCAATATTACATGTAAAACACTTAGATAACCCCTTTGAAGTTCTAACACATGCAGATAAACTGCTGTACATTGATGATATTATATTATAAAATTTACCAGAAATACCAACTTCAGCTAAAGATTGCAAGAGAACATCATGTCTTATTGTGTCAAAAGCCTTTGAGAAATCAATAAAAAGGCAATAAAATCTACCTCTCTTTTTACCAGAATATTTTTTAGCTAAAGCCTGAAGAGAGAAAATATGATCAATTGTGGAGTACCCTGCTCTGAAGCCTGCCTGGGACTCATTACTGTAATAATTTCATGTGCATCGCACCATGATTTTAAACGCTTATTCAAAATATAGGAAAATGTTTTACAAATAGAATCAATAAGATATACCCCTATAACTATTTGGGTTACTTTTACAGCCAGATTTGAACAGAGGGCATATAATATTCTTGCCCCAACCACATGGAAAATTACCACTATCAAATATCTGATTAAACAGTACTGTAAGAAAAGGTACAATGGAGGCACTTGATGCTTTAAGAAACTCATTTGATATACCATCAGGTCCAGGGGACTTATTGTTAGGAGAATGTAAAATGTGAAACAAAACTTCCTGCTCAGTAATAGCAGCATTAAGTGTTGACACATCAGTAGCATTTACAACATGTGGTGAAACAATAGGTAAAACATCAGGCTGGTTAACACAAAGTAATGATACAAAGTGATCAAACCACTGATTACATGAGATAGATGAGGGAAGACTGTCACACACTCTATATTGTTTCAATAATTTCCAAAATTGGCTTGAGTCACTGCTGGAATCCACTAGTTTCTGTCTCTGCTTACACTGATAATTCTCCTTTTTTGGATATGAATGTCTTTTTAAATAGTTTTTGTAGTTGTCGAAATATATCCAAGTCCTGATTATTGTCTCTGTGTGCACGTAATGCAGAATATTTATCGTGTTTTAGTTGTTCCAGCTCTGCATCCCACCAGGGGGGGCTGTGATCTGTCCCTGTGCTTATCAAAGCTACGATACACACTTCTAGTATGGGAAGCAGTTTGTTGTATCACACTAACTAAGAGATTAACTGCTTCATCAATATTGGTATACACAAGGTCAGTTAGTGTAACAGACATATCTAACAATTTGTTGTGAAACTGTGTTGCAAACTGACTATTACTGTCCTTAGACCACACATATCTAACCCATGACTCTTCCTCAGTAGTGGCCTGCTGACTAGCATCTGTATTAGAACATTTACGTGCTGACAAACAAAGAATCATCATCAGGCCGAATCTAAGAGTCGAACCGAAGATAATATGCTCCTACCACCCCAAGGGACACAACTCTGCACAGCAAACTGCGGCATATTAGAGGGCTGGGGACGAAACTGATATACACAGATGGTTCTTGGGTACTTAATTTGTTTCACAGACGGCGGTATAAGCTACTGATTGCTGATAAAATGTTGGGCCTTGAATTAAATATACAAATATACAGTGGGCGGTGGGGTAGCCTTGTGGTTAAAGCGTTTACAACATCATTAGGATTAACTGAAAGACAGGAACTGACTGAATGGCAAAACAACTTTGACTTCTAAGATATATAAGTTTCACCTCTGCCTTCTCTTCCTTCCCAGATGATGCACCCCGCGTGGAGAGGGCTATTGGAGGCCGCCCTGTCAGTCGGGGTTCCACGCCCTGGCTAGTGTTGCTAAGGGCAACCATAGTAACGACACGGTTCCTGGGAATCCCACTTCAACATCGTCATATATTCTGTGGGGGTACAGTTCTCAATGACCGCTGGGTGATTACCGCTGCCCACTGCTTTAAGGAGTACGGGTAAGTGAGTATATACTGACGGGAAAAAGAAACTATACAGTATACACCTAGGTTTGATGGTGAAGGAAAACCAAGTTCTATGGATAGTCAACTTCTTTATTGCAATGAGTGCGACCTTTCGGTGTAGGTACTAACACCGTTATCAAGCAAGTGGTTTTCCTTCATCTATACAACTTCTAAAATGCCTCTCAAAGAAGTAAGGTTTGATGGTGTCTAAGAATTAACTCGGCAAGACATGATTATATTTGATGCGATTGTCAGTGTCGTGTTTTGGAAGTTAAAGGATATCTATTGAATCAAACTTCTTTAAATATGTTAAATAGTCGTACAAAGTATACATATTGTAACAGTTATAATATAAAACTATAGAAAATATTTACTCTGAAGACCGGGTTTGATTCCCCATTTCTTAAATCTCCCGCCGGGATATTGCATGCATATTGCTGAAAGGGGCGTAAACCATACTCACTCACTCATTCACTCACATAATGGATAGGCCATCGATGCAACAAAAGAATACGATAAGTATATTCTTTATATACCAGGAATACTTTCATTAATCTCATACGTCTATACAATGTCTACTTGCTCAGTGGGGAGGTGGGGTAGCCTGGTGGTTAAAGCGTTCGCTCGTCACGCCGAAGACCCGGGTTCGATTCCCCACATGGGTACAATGTGTGAAGCTCATTTCTGGTGTCCCCCGCCGTGATATTGCTGGAATATTGCTAAAAGCGGCGTAAAACCAAAAACTCACTCACTCACTCACTACTTGCTCAGTGAGCTGTTGCCTCATGTATTTGACTCTAGTTTATTGTTCTGTTCAGTAACATGGCCTCAGATCATTTAGCGCTATATCGTAGAAGTGTCGGTTCACTCTTGAGTTGCATTTGTATGCGGTGTTTAAAGTAACACTGACTTGTAAATTCCGCACACAAGCCATTTGAATAAACGGAATTAACTATGCCTATATTTTATACCTATTCCATTCATAGGTCAACGGCAAGATCACCTCGCAACTGGGAGGTCCGTCTCGCCACAACCAAACTCAGGGTAAGTCTCACTGTCCCCACCCCCTATGTCCGCCAGTGTTGTCTCTGTTGGTCTATATGTCCCACGAAGGCTCACCGTTTGTCTCACTGTAGCTTGTCCCACTAGAGGCCACCATGTATCAGATACAGAATTGGTTATTTGTTTCATGTTAAACTCACGTCCCAATGTATCGTCACACGGCAGAGGTAGGGCATCATAAATCAGGAATGAACAGATTATCATGTGTTGTCTCTGTCAGACATCGCCGGCGGAGCGGCTACTACATCTTCTGGGACGGCTACTACAACGATCTGAGTGGATGCAGTGGGAGATCGGGGTGGAGAGAATAGTGATCCATCCGCACTATAACGAATCAAGTACGTAGATTTCCTGTTATCGCTTGTGTCCATCACTTATGTAACATCACTCACTCACTCACTCGTACACTCACTCACTCTTGTTTTCAGGTATCTGGGCCAACGACATCGCAATGGTCAGACTGAGCCGCCCAGTGCCTTCCGGTCCCGAATTCGGCTACATCAAAAGGGTCAACCTCCCCCGTGCCTTTGACGACAGTTTCCCTGGGGTGGGTCAGCTGTGTGTCACCACCGGGTGGGGCTGTACCAGTAACGGTAAGTCTGTCTCGATGGAGTTAAACTTGAAGAAACAAAGACATAGCAAATACCAGAACTATTCAGGAGCACTATACTTTAAGAAGAAATTGCACCGTTTATTGCCACATAAGAAGATGTAATTAAACGAGAGATGAAATTATACGATATTTTGAATACTGGTAAATATTGACCTGTGATGCCCACTAGGTGGCGGGCCATCTCCTGTAGCACGTGAGATTCAGCTGCCAGTGTACAGTGACTACATGTGCGAACTCCACTACAGTATCCGGGACATGGACAAACGGGTGTGTGCAGGGTACAGGAACGGAGGAGTCGGTGTTTGCTCGGTAAGGAGTTCATACTTCAAGCTGGCGTACCCTACAAAGTTCGCAGTCTGTTAAGGAACCGTTTAGTCGTTCTCATCCATAACAATTCCCTTGGCCCACCCCCGATGATTTGTCACGAAAGCCGACTAACGGGATCGGGTGTCAGGCTATTCTGACTTGATCATTTCATCATATCCCCTTAGATCAATGCTGGTGACGTCAATGACTTGATTGTCTTATCCAGACTAGATTGCTAAGAGACCGCCATAATATGGCTGAAATATTGCCGATGTGACATTCAATCTTAACTCACACTCACTCAGAAACCACCATGATATAGATTGACTATAACTGAATATTGCTAAACGAAACATAATCGATATCTTGTATGAATCTATTTCGATTCTATTTCGCGTAGGGATGTCCTTTATAGTTTTACACCACATGGGCACACTGTGTTAAGCCCATTTCTGGTGTCCCCCGCCGTGATATTGCTGGAATATTGCTAAAAGCGGCGTAAAACTAAACTCAGTCAGTCAGTATAGTTTTACAACCCCCATATATTCCAGTATTTCCCCCCATGAACCTGAGATTATTCCAACCCACGTTTCGCTTGCATGCCGTCAGAGAATTGAAGTGTGAAAATGGTGGGTTTACCAATTAGGACGTTAGTCACAGGTTTGCATGGTCCAGGCTCAGGTATTTACAAGCAGTGTTAACCCAAGTCACTCACTCACTCACTGTTGCAGGGCGACAGCGGGAGTCCTCTGGTATGCCGGGAGGACGGGGAAGATGTCATAGCGGGCGTCGTCTCTTTCACCAGCCGTGATCGTCCCGGGGAGTTCCCCGCCGTCTTCACCAGGGTCACCGACTATGTCACGTGGATCCGCAGCGTCATCGGCGAATCATGATGACGACATCGCCGATGGCTTGTTCTGTGATATGTAGATGTATTATGTTATTTAGCGTTATATGAGTTGACAATACACGCCAGGAGGACCTACTACAAGGTATCAGACTCGAATATGGATTAGCATTACTGTAGGCATGCTCGTACTAGGACATAGTGGCTCTGGTATTATCACTGCACGACACACACTGTTCACTGATGTTGTCTGGCGTTAGAGGAGCAGGTGTATGGTACACCGAAAAGTCCAGGATTTTGAAATGAGATTAAGGTGAGAAGATGAACACTTCCACTGACACACACTTGAAGCAACCACTGACGCAAGTTGACATAGTGAGCGTCTCACAATGGGGATGTGCACGTTCTGCACGCACCGACAGTGATTGTCTACTTCTTTGAGAGGCATTTAGAAGCTCACTAAGGAAGGATAACAATATATATCACAGTGGGAGGGGCGTTTCGGTGTAGGGACACGTGTTAGCGTTCACACCCTGATCGTTAGCAATGTGTAGTTAACTGACTTCCCCCATGCTATTGTAACCCTAATTCCAAATGACTGTTAAAACACGTCTTCACTCGTGTATATATGCCTCTCAATCCTTATTCTGTTCATTGCATGCTTGATAACGGTGTTAATATCTACACTGTAGTGACGGAATCGTTCGTCGATATATGGTTATCTTTCCTCGTTGGTGTCTCACTACTGCCGTGATGTCCCCCTCTATCTACGTTGTATCTTCTGTCTGGACTGTTGAATCATGTGTTCCACCAGTTTCTAACAGTAAAGGGAGCTAAGTTAAGGAGAATGTTTACACCTGGGGGTCTAGCAATTTGTGTAGTCGTGTGCGTTTTGTTCTGCTTAGACCATAAACTGTAGACTATATATATATACATCGAGTGATATCACATGGACTTCAAGCAAGTTCTAATGCTGGTGTTGTTGATAAGTCCAATTGTCTCATGCCAGCAATACGTTGCTGAACTGTGAAAATATGTTCACGAAACGTGAAAGTATGTTCACGAAATGCCTTAATGTCATAATATTTCACATGCACATATTTATGTCGTTCTGTAACACTTTTCATAATATAATTCAAGTAGGATAGATATTTGTAAAGTAACTTCCACAGTGGGAAATATTTCTCAAAATATTTTTTATCTTTCTCATCTTGAATAAATATTGTTCGGAATTGAATTTCGATATTTTCAATAATTGTTTCTTGTTGACTCTCCATGGAGGCGATCCATCTCTGACGTCCTCCAAGGTTAGACTGGCAACGTTTGGGTCGACCTAAGGCTTCAGTGAGATTTAATGTGGCTTTGTAATGTAAAAAGATATGATGCAGTCGATTTTGAACCACATCACATGGAACGGTCTTAAGGGTTAATATAGGGATTGTACGTACGCATCATACACGCAACCCGTGATTTCTTATAAAACAGCGAGCCTGCGTTGCGTTGTCAACAGCATGTACGTCCACACAGACGTCTCACATCATCCCTTGATCGATGATCCACATTCTGCAACCATGATCATACTCTATTGATTACTGAACAGTGTAAAAACGCATTATTTGATGGACATCAACCACAAACACTTATCTTATCAATCTATAGGTCAAGAGGAGGTCACGTGAATGGTCAATATGGTATCTACAGTCAACAACAAAACGTATGGACTGATTGAGGCCGATTATTGTACGACATTATACGTCCATCCTATACGTCGGTGATGCAACACGTGACTGTATTCGGAAGGGTCACCGACCCATCATTACTCCTACAACACGAGGGCGGTCTGTAAACAATCTGGACCAGACAATCTAGTGATCAGCATCATGAGCAATGAGCCACGTCGGCCTGGCATTACCAAGTCAACTGAGCTACTAAACGTCACAGCCGATCCATGAAATGAAAAAAACCCTGAATTCTGGATAGCACTGTCTGATTTCAACATAACGCTGTCTGATTTCAACATAACGAGCAGGGGCGGATACAGCTCTTTGAGAAAGGAGGGGAAGGGAGGGTGTGTTTGCACAGTTCATTTTCACCCATTTTCTGGAGAGTTTCTATGGTAATTTAATAAACTATAAGGACAGGGGGCATGCGCGCCCCTGCACGAGCAGTATGTTTTGATGTTATGGAACCGTATTTTACTGCCGCTTCAGTCAGTCGTGAAATTGGTTCATCACATCAATATGGTTTCATCCCTTCACTAGGCTCTTTGTACAGGTGTGTTGTTCTATTTCACGCTGCTAGACAAATCTAAAAGTCACGTGTAGACAGTTCAACCCTACAAAAGTGTACCTGTTCAAAACTGTTTAAGATTAGGTCTTTGAAACTCAGAAACATTGTGTTCCTCATAATAAAGAAGTTGACATCCATAAAACTCTCTTCCTTATGTTTAGGTTTATCCAGACAATCCAAGGACTAAACAAACCTTCTACTTTCTTTCTCTCGTGTTAATCGTCCCTTCCCTCTAAAACATGTTGAAAATATACTGCAAGTAAAGCCACTATACATGACTTTCTTAATTTAATAATATCTTAGCATCGACCTTTCATGGTTATATTTTTTCCAATGCTATGCCATGAAAATAACTATTGATCAAAACATAATTTAGCGACCTGTAGTGATTGAGGGACAGCGTAGTGCAGAGTCTAGTGCTGATGTGACCGTTGCATGCTGGTGTGCTTGGAAACAACGAAAACCTATGTGCCAATTGAATCTTCTTGGTGGTACAAAGCCAAAGTGGCAGGTATTTATAGTTCACAAACAGGAAACGTCATATGAAAAACAAACATCGGCAAGGGCACTACAACAGACAAACAAACGTCTTGTTTATTATTTTGAAAATTAGATACATATTTTTTTGGTATTTTTAGAGAACCGTGTGTGATCATCTCTGCCTTGACAAGACGATATTTTGCTGTTACACAAAGAACGGACTTTATTCTGTCCTGAACGACATATATGTCTGTTTTCAAACTACAACTTTGAGAATATGTCAACTGGCAGTCAGTGACTCTGAGGTAGCTTGGAAGAGACTGTCTGAATCGGTTACTTTCAATGCTTGAAAGCTCAATACTGATTCATTTGAAGGTCAGCTTGAAAATTCGAACCCATATCCAAGATACTGTTACGACTAAGGCCCGTAACTCTGTATATATATACCCCTCCTGTAACTCATCTTCGATAATCTCCAGGGTATACGTTCCGATACATGTCCATTATACCCTGGATGCATCTACGGTTCGATGATTTTATTACCTCCCTTTGCCGGCTCCGCATTCTCACAGTAGCCAATCAGAAAAGCCGCCGTTACAACCGAGCTTGCCAGTGTTAACAAAGATAGCGGTCGCAGCCGCGAAAGTTTGTTCGCAGTACGACTCAGATTTGGGGGGAAAACATACAGACAATTTGACAGGTCTGAAACCTTAAAATAATATATGCAAGAACTCCTTCTACCTCTTTCAGAGTACCTCTGCAACAATATATTATTGTGTTGCCAAGTTTAATCGGTAAGATAATTTAAAAAGTGAAAGTGAGTTGTGATTGGTGCACTCAACTTCCCAGCGTAGACTCCTGATTGGATAAAAAGCAAACCAAGGGAGGTAATAAAATCATCGGCTCGAGCCGTAGATGCATCCAGGGTATAGTGGAGATTTATCGGAACATATACCCTGGAGATTATCGAGGATCCCTGTAACTCCGAGTAGCCAGATATGTTCGACGGTGGGATAAGCGAGTTGTTAAAGCGTTTCTACAACGGCTAGTACTTCTATTCCTTAGGTATGTTAAATAAAAAACTGTATGGAATTATATAGTCTTGAAGTCATTTGACAATAACTGAACAGTTAAGGTTACAATTGAAGCAGACTGACCTGGATGTGTTCAGACAAAGTAAAATGTTAGATATTTTTATCTAATACAGTTTTACTAAACTACGTTGTGTTATTGCGACTAAACTCCCGAATGGCAACAAGAGTTTTGTGATACATTTTGATGAGCGGGAAACGGTACGCGCCCACTAGAAAGTCATCTTTGGTAAACCGTTCCGCCATTGCCTCGTCATCCAGCTTTCTGTAGTGGTGAATATACGCGACATCAGGAGGGACCTCTATCACGGTGTAGTTGTCAACGTTTGGTTTACTCACGTGATGTATCCCCATCTCAAATACCTTATATGGATCAACCATCACTTTATTTCTTCCCATATTTGGAAACCGTTCATGTCTCTCTGTAGCACGTAGCACGGTTAAGCATCGGTTCTCTTGGCTGCAAGTAGGTAAATTATTAATTTGAAAATATGCGCTTCTAAATGACAGACCACATATATTCGGTTTGAACATGGCGGTCAAATCACGCCAAGATTTCGTGGAAATGCCATGTGGTACAAGAAACTCGTCTAGATCATTAAACATGAGATATTTAACTGCCGACATATGTCGGTAAAGGCAGTCGGTCAGAGCCACACTCTGTCCAAGATACCATATATCATTCCATGAAACTGGGAGATCCCACGGAATAACAGAAGCCAGTCCAACAGACTGGTAATACTTCAAAGCTAATTGCACATCCGGTGAAACACCAAAATCATAAAAAACAAAATGCCGCGCACCAAGGAGACGACTCATCTCAATAAACTGAACAATAGCAAATCTGGTTAACCTTCCATATAGAGGCGGCACGCAAACAGCAAAATCAGTCTGCGCTTCCGGTGAAGATTTTGTTGTTGTAAGTATTGACAGCTCAACACTATTGACAGTATCCCTCCTTGACAAACCTACATAGACAAAGCATGGTTGTCTCCCTTGAATCTCCGGTAGAGGGCAGGACACAATCCATCCTCCAAACGCACGACGATGGTTCTCACACAACTCGTATCTCTCCGCTCCAAAAGAAATAAGCTGATGAATCATGTTTCCATCGTCCCCCATCACGGGGACCTTGTAGTGGCAATACAGACTCATATACGCCACATGTTTGTTGATAATTCCAACGATACGAACATGTGGTTTCTCCTGTCTATAGTCTGCATAGGCTGAGAACAGGTAGATCAGAGACGTAAGTTTAGAATGAACATATTGCAGATTAACTGCGTAACGTGGATCCTGAACACAGTGTTGGATCACCGGGTTAGACACTGTCTTCTTTAGTACACCCGGCGCCTTCTTATGTCTCACGAGTTCCTGGTGGATAGAAACTGTATTTTCTCGGGGACGTTCTTCTGGTGTATATTTGTTATTTGAGGAATGCAGAAAACTATAGAACATGACTGAACATACAAAATATGACACCACTCCAATAGTGATGCACCTCTGCAACCTTGCCACCCTCATGATGCAATGCTATTTCCAGTGACTGTTGGTTTCCGTTTCAACCCATATTCCTCATACTGTCACAGACTTCACCAATGACCTTCAGTCTAATCCATCTGCGTAGTAGCTCCACCATTACGGTTATACCGTTGCCTTTTGTGGGGGTGAAGACTCTATCAAGAACTTACAACCTATATGTCTCACTAAATGGTCAGCCAAACGAAGAATATCGAGATGTGCTTGTTAGCATCAACGATATTTTTTAACCATACGTTAAGTCCACAAGAACTTCGTGTGCACTTAATGCTGTGCCCAGCGGCACATAACTTGAATATTCTTTTATTCCTTCTTCGTGAGTAGTTTGTCTTTCGTTATTGGTCTCCACGCCTGTATATCCCCTGATGTTGCATCTGCTCACTGACAATATCCTTGGTGAAGATAGATTTATGTGCACTGTAGGGACCGTCCTGCTAAGCTAAATGCAGGAAAGTTTCAACCACAATCACAGATGTGTGACTACGCTGCTGCTTCGTAGAAGTTGCTCCAATGTTTTACTCTTCTGTAGTCATCATGTCCTTCCGTACCCTTAACATACACCCGGTTATGAAGACTAGACAGAGTCTGGTAGACACGAAGACTAGCGCCTGTCATCAGACATCGCATGAAAAACCTGAATCACACCACATGAAGACTTGATAAACTCTAAAGACTGTGCATTATATGATGCTGTCTCAGCCCTCTATATACTGTCCTCCAGAACTTTGAACGTGTTGCAGAAATTTCTCGCATTACACGGAAACAACACACGACCTATGTACTGCACCCAATACATCGAATGATTCAACGACTGTTGGTTTTATTAAAGGTAATCATAAACACAAATATAGATTTTCCGTAAGGTTAGACACTGAAACTGATATCGATCTAGCTAGTGGTGGCATGTATTGAACAACCCGATACTACCGTGTCACAGGTGCCCGCAAGGCGCCACGCCTACATGGTCGTAAAGATCGGACTGGTACTGACAAGAGCCTTTAATAAATCGGACTGGTACTGACAAGAGCCTTTAGTAAATATGTTGATGAAGTAACACATGTATTGCAATATAGACCGGAAACTATCGGTTCATTGATTATTATGTACACATCATTATGACTGTTATTGTAGTTTATACATTTAATATTCCACACAAATGTCAGTCGTTTTAAAGGATAATGGGTAGTTTCATGCCGTATTATCTGCGGCAAAGTTTCACTAGTAAACATTCTGACCAGGTAGAGAGAAAGAAGATGAAGATGTTTGTTGTATTTTAGGGTCCCGGACCACATACAGAGTAAACAAAATATACAGTAACTTACTCAATTTGATGTTACATGCAGTATTACATTAATTTGGAAATACACTATATTTCAGGTGTTGCACGCTTTAAATATAGTGACAGGTGTAAAATATCGGTATTACTTCTACAGGTGCAAGAAGGGAATGCAATATCTGGTGTTTACCTGAGTACATTTTTGGTATACAGAATTCTCAGGTTATTCAGGATAGGGCATGTAAAGGAAAAGTGGATTCATTCTCATAATTATTTTACATGATATGTGACTCATTTTTATCATTTCCTATTTTTCTGCCTTCAATTGATCATAAATAAGTTACGTAACTTTACAGTCGTTGGTACGGAAAGGTATTTTAGAGATCACTTTTAAACGATCTGTAAGATTCATATCGCGTACTTACGTTTAAATTCGTATGCCAATTTTGAAACAAATATGTTTATGGGGCGTTCCCGTAATTCTTTTGAATACACACATTATCTGTCTGATTTTGATCAACAAATTATGTGACTGTACCAAAACATTATTTTTGCAGGTTTTTATAGAACACCACAGAGATTTTACGTCTTAACAGTTTATGTTTCAGTTTCAGGTAGGTATAAGTCTTCAGCAGTCCAGCTGTTGGTGAAGGTTTCTTATGACTACACTGAGCGAAGGTGTGTGGTAACATGACACTGAGCAGAAATAGAAATACAACGTCAATGTCAATACTTAATCTCATTTATCTTCAGAAATCGATTCCACATGTCGTAAAACACAAAATTGATGTGAAAATTCTGTGAATCACTGAAAATCACTGACGCCACCAGATATGAGTGGCTGGCTGACCGGTAACTCGCTCACTCACATGAATGGGAACAGTATGTCCAGTACTCGGCGACAGCAGCATGTAAACAAACACACAAGACAATCAAGTGGCTCACCAGGCATGTTAGCGCATTTACAGATTTTATTGAAACTTAAAAACAAACAAAAATATTTCATTACAATCGTCAGAACCCTTTCAATGATCAGAAAAAATAGAATAACTTATTTTCTTGTTGTACCTAAGAGAATTTCAGTTCTACTATCTCGGCCCAGATCTTTTCTTGGCATTTGTCTCAGTATAACTGATGAATGCTAGTGAGAATATCATCAATCTCGGGATCTTCCATCAACCAAACATCGACCCAGTTTAAGTAAATATAAAACGCCAACACTAGAGAATATCCGATGTCAACTGTCGAAAACAAGCAAACACAACCCGGGTCAATAGCATCTGGCATACTCAGATGATAGATGAGCAAGAATAAATAAATCATGTAGGTTTCTAGGCTTTAAACACATGTAGTTTATGAAAAATATTCTTCTTCCTGCATATCGCATCTGCTTGTCAGTTAGTGTCTAATCCAAAACTGCAACCGGGATTTCTGAAATAAACGGTAGAGGAAATACATATGAATACGACGGAATATGTAATGAAATATACAATAATATGATGTTACGTAAAGAACGTCAAAACATGAAATATACTAATATACTGAGGGAAACAAATAAGGGAACACCAAGGCTGTGTTCCTATTCTCAGATTTCCTCCCACAGCGGTATTCAAAGCTGGTGATGAAACCTGGAAAATGTTAAAGGAACACTTTAATGTTCCTGTGTTCCTTTATTTGTTTCTCTCAGTATATATAGTATGTGCATGACAAGTAAATTATACACAATGAATGGGCGGTGGGGTAGCCTAGTGGTTAAAGCGTTGGCTCGTCACGCCGAAGACCCGGGTTCGATTCCCCACATGGGTACAATGTGTGAAGCCCTTTTCTGGTGTCCCCCCGCCGTGATATTGCTGGAATATTGCTAAAAGCGGCGTAAAACCATACTCACTCACTCACTCACACAATGAATATGACATGAAATATAATGAAGTGTAAAATATATGACATGTAATACAGTGTTTCTAAATATTCACGTATATGACATTGATAAAAAGAAATATACAAATTGAATGCTTATGACGTAATGTACAAATACAATGACACGTGTTCCGATGACATATACCAGCTATCGGGTAGTAAGTGGACGTTTGCCACCTTCATGGAACAAACCCAGAACCCCAACCTAGGCGAACAAGGTTTGAAGCAAAATGAATGCCCAATAATATAATAGTTATTTGTATCCCTTCGTTTCAAACAAGATGTTTCTAATTTTGTAAAATGTCAAACATGAAACTACGGTTATAACGAACCTGCATGTACCGAAATGCCGGTATACTATATTTGAAATGCATATAACAAGATACGGGTACAACAAACTAGAATTAATGGTACCTCTGAATTCGTGATAACCGTTGTTTGTTGGGCCGGCATGCCAGAACAACTTAGCAGTGTGTGTATTCAGGTCTGCCCACCCACGACGTGATGACTATGTAATAATCATCACAGAACGCCACTGATATTACCGTTAAAACCCCGTAGAGTAGTCAGGTAACCCCTGTTCTGGGGCTCTGCTTTCTCCAAGCAGTGTATGGTCCCTTATGCGTGGCTCAATCCGAAGAATAATCTCTGATGCGGCCTCACTATGACCTGTGGTTAGTCAGCAGTAGGTGCGATTGTTGATTACAGTCTGGACGACCTGAACCAAATCGGCATCTCCTCCAGCATCGACACACCCTGTTGCTCCTTACATACAGTTCAAGTCACATCCTCGCTAAATAATATGTTTCATTTTATCTACTTATCTCAATGTACTACCCGCGACCCTTTATATAATCCCTATACAAAGCAGTAAAGAGAGTCAATTTACTCACTGGCGACACAGATCTCGTTCGACCGACAGGGCCTATGCCCAACAACACATTTGCACTCGACACAGGGGTTATCACGGGTCGGATACCAGGTGTCCAGGTCGACGGTCACCCCCTCCACAACACACCCCTCGTGTTCACAGCAACACCCGCCCTCAGACCACTGCAAGGAGTAAATAGGCTGATTAATCAACGGGTTCCATTGCTGATCCACGCAGCTCAACTGATGATCAAACTAAAGTATACAATGTGACAAATGACACAATCAAATTCATTGGAGTCATGGTTAAACTGAACCGATGTTTTATTCTTCAAGAGAAAATCTTACAATAACATCTTTCCTTTGGATAGTTTTAGCCTTACAATCACCATGATATTGAGGTCCAAACCAAGCGATTTCACTTTAATTTCTAGTTCAGGTGGCAAAAGACAGTGGAAAGACATTTGCTGCTTGACGATTGTGGAACGATAATATAAGATCAGTCTACCCGAAGCTAAAACATCTTGGTTAAATTCACTTGTTTTTAGTTTTGTTTGTTTATGCGTTGTTTAACACCACACTCAGCAATATTTCAGCTATGTGACGATGGTCTGTAAATAATTGAGTCTGGACCAGACAATCCAGTGATCAACATCATAAGCAACGATCTACGCAATTGGGATACGATGAAATGTGTCAACGAATCTGCTGCATACCTGTGATCTCAAGTACTCCCAGGGCGTAGTACACAACATTGCCAACATCAACACAAATAGTTACAGCAGCCCTTAACCCTCTATTGCATTACTCTTGCAACTCATTAGAAGTTCTATGTCAACATCGTTATGTACAATTAGAATGATTATCATTTTCGACTTTCTCCCTTGTCGCAAAGTACACCTATTAATAGATCTTTCCCTTACAGTAACGGCCATATTCAAGTATGATTATTATTCCATCAATATGTATAATTTTATCGTCACATGCCAACGAGCCACACAGAGCTTTTATACGTTATTGTGCAGTCACTCTTGTCCTGGCCATGCAACAGGTTGACGTGACGTTCTCCACTATCAGCTCATGTATTGATCTACTGTCACATATGAAATCGACAACAGAGACCATGTGTGAGGTTATAGTAGCTGTAGCTACACGCATGTAACAACGGGTTGCCGTGACCTGAACTTCGTGGAATAACGCTGTTTTAGACCAATGATTTGTGCCACCGACTTGTTTTGTCAAGCACACAGATTGGGGTGATGACTTTTGTACACCAGTGTCCACCATTGTACAATAAAGGGAAAAGTTCAACCATTGTTCAATCGGGTTTTTGTAACAAAACGTAGTAACCATAGATACAGTTACATATCTATCGTCAGCAAACTGGATAACTGTAAAACAAAAAAGGCAAATGCCTTCCGAACGTCACGGAGAACACAATAAGTTATGTGCTGGACTTCCATGTACACTTGGGGGGTAAACATGTGAGCAGGAAGAAGACCTCTCCATGGCCACCAATTGTGCTAAATATCTTCCTGATGTCTTTCTTTCTACAAATGAATAAGAATTTCTGCTCGGGTTGGGAAAGGCGTAGCAAACGTGGCCAGGACGCTCCAGGTATGTTGATAATCAGTATCACACAATAGCCATCATCAATTAGAAGACATTTCACAACGCAATGACGAAAAGGATGAAATTCCCGATTTTGACATTAGGGACCGTACATAATTTACGGCTAGGGGAAGGGGGTGATGACGATTTGTTTTTTGAGAAGCATGTACAATGTGAATGACTCCCATAAAATTTATGTACAAAGTGCCCCGCGCGCCTCACACACACACCTCCCTTGCATGTCATGTACAAAATCAATGACACCCTCTCCCCTTAAAATCATCATCATATTATGAACGGTTCCTTACCATTTTAGTCATTTTAGAATATGATCTGACACTATATTGCAATATGGAACTAACGGGATCGGGTGATTAGGCTCGCTGACTTGGTTGACACATGCCATCGTATGCTCATGATGTTGATCACTATATTGCACGATCCAGACTCGATTATTTGCATATAGTTGGAATACTACTGGAGTGCACCGTTAAACAACAAACCCCCCAAACCGGAAAAGATATCAGTCAGATGATTGTGTGGGCGGTTAATTACAGACCGCCGTCACATCGCTGGAATACTGATGTGTGTATCAGTAAGCGAGTAGAGATCACGACCATGAATAGACACAAGGACCTCAGTCAGTGACACCTATCTCAATCTGGATCAGAAAGACCACGGTCAAGACTATATTTCCCAGCACAAGGCCCAATCAACGTATCAATGGTACATGGGACTGACTGAGTTTGGTTTTACGCCGCTTTTAGCAATATTCCAGCAATATCACGGCGGGGGACACCAGAAATGGGCTTCACACATTGTGCCCATGTGGGGATTCGAACCCGGGTCTTCGGCGTGACGAGCCAACGCTTTAACCACTAGGCTACCCCACCGCCCCGGTACATGAGAGGTCTTACATACTGAAACGAATGCTTCATAAACTAGTGGTGCTTTATATGGTTACAGACAAACATTAGAAGACTGCCTACCTTTGTACACATGTACTCGAACTCAGGGCGGTACTTATTCGTACATGTTGGACCGTCACAAACAATGTCTCCGTCGACGCAGGTGCAATTATGACAACGCCTGTCCCATGTCGTCCCGTCCAGGATGATGCTGATAGCGTCATAATCTCTTTTATAACATGACTTCCCAGACGAAGGAGCTGCCAGTAAGGTTGCGATGAGAATCATGACGGACAGGGCGGAAGTCGGGGAGATCGTGGCTGCCATGTTGTCCTGCCGGTGATGAGGCTTCAGAATACTCCACGAGTCCTATGCGTCTCCTTTTATACACTGATGAACGTTATAGTATAGGCTGCATGTGCAGACCCCTTATGGATTTGACCTTATGCCAAGGTCTGATAATGTATATAAACTTGTCAATCAATTGTCTGCTGCGAGATGCAGACTGTGATCAAATAAGAAACGAAGTAGGTATGCTGTTGGTATGCTTATGTCGTCATTTGTACGTAACGGACGGGAGTAGTAAACTTAGGCAGCTCATTTAAAATATAGTGACGATATGCTGTCTTAACTTTCACTGACAACATTCACTGACAGTGGACATGCTGATAATGCACGTGCAACATTATCATCAATTATGGAATTATCTCCGCGGCTTGTCAATGAGCTCCCGCGATATAACACTTATCGCTGGTATCTCTTTACCATCAATACTTTCATATTTCAGGTCTCACAGTCATGCCAGGTGTTAAAATAATTAATCGGAATTACTAAATAGCAAACGGAAATATCACATCATTCATTTATGCTCACACCGGCTGCTATCGTGTCCAGTTCAAAATAAAGATACATTAATATTCAAGTACCTGGCACTAGTTGAGAACCGAAACTGGACATGACACTACTTGGACCAATCAGAGACAAATACCACAGCTATATACTAACATTAAACGTAAACATATATTGCTGTATGGTGAAATAGGTTGTTTCCACGAGACCTTTGTGAATTCATTCATTCATCGCCTCAAAATATACTGGTCAGATCAATGATGATGGGTTCATTTGGTTGTGCGTTTCTAGCTCATTACTCTTCAACATTCTGTAAATAATTGGGTCATTTTTTGTAATGTGTTTGTTTATAGCATTCTACAGGATAACCGAGTCTTGACCCGACAAGCCAGTGGTTGATACTATGACCAACAAACCACGATGTCGTTGGTATATGCTGATGCACCATATAATAACAGATTCAGTTTGCATGGTGAGGTGAGGTGAGGTGAAATTGGGTTTAACGTCGTGCTTGAGAATATTTCGCTAGTATCACGACGTGCATGCGTGTGTGTATGTGTATGTGTGGCTGCTTGTACTAGCCCAGACTGAAGCTGGTTTTATAGTGCTAGCCCACTGAGATACCATGCCGCAGTGAAGCATGAATACCCCACCCAGACACATTATACTGACTCCGAACCGACCAGTCCTTGTTGTACCCATTAATGCCGAGCGCCAGGCAGGGACCAACAAGTACCATATTTTAACGTCTTTTGTTATGAGGCGGTCGGGGATCGAACCCGCGACCTTCCTCTCTCCGGGCGGACGCTCTAACCACTACACCACGGAGGCGGTCCAGTTTGCATGGACCAGACAGTGAACTATAAAGCAGGTACAGCAGAATATCGATGGTGTGACATTAAATGGAACCGGTCTCCATGTCAGTTCTAACACTATACTTATTCTGATACCATTACTTAATGTACAGCGGAACTGAGTGTTCAGTTATTTCGCGACCATCTTGTCAGTCAACTCCTCGATACCACAGTTCTAGATTTAAGGAAAAGTGTATGTCAGGTATATTTGACGGGAACTGTGCTCCCCTTTGCGAGGTTGCTGAATATTGCAACAATGGCGCATATCCACACTCATTGTCTCGTGTGTTCAGGCTGTCTTGTGCAGAATGTGTCCTATTTGCACGGTACCAAGAAGGGAAAATGGCATACCCCATTTAGTCACTATATCATTGATATGAGGAAGTCAAATGACAAACTGTAACATTCTGTGATAAGACACGAACACACACCCACGCACGCACGCACGAACGCTCACATATATACTCTTAAAAAAAATAGGGGAACCTGAACTTTCAATTTGTATAGAATGTATAAGCGTGAACAAACGAAGACAGACATCTTATGAACGTACCACCATTTCTCTTTGTCACCACCCCTAAACACAACGCGCGTGATGCACGTACACAACGCAGTGGCCCCATACACGTGCATGGGGTGTCATTCTTGATTGTGATGTTTTTCAAGAAGGTCAATAAATCACTGAAGGCCATTAATTTTGACAATCATCTTCCATCACACAGTTGTTTCTAGTTTAAAAATGAAAATCGTACACACGCAAATTTCACGTCATACACCAATCATCTTTCAAGAACCATTAGGGGCGGTGGGGTAGCCTAATGGTTAAAGCGTTGGCTCGTCACGCCGAAGACCCGGGTTCGAATCCCCACATGGGCACAATGTGTGAAGCCCATTTCTGGTGTCCCCCGCCGTGATGTTGCTGGAATATTGCTAAAAGCGGTGTAAACCCAAACTCAGTCAGTCAGTCAGTCAAGAACCATTACCGTACAAAGAACTATGCTCGTAAGCAAGTGCAAGTGGAGATACACTCTCAAAACATTCATTATTATTATATCAACATTGATTGACTCCGGTTACAGTATAGTAAGGCATGGCGGCTTGATGGTTGTAAACATATCCATATCCACAAGCATTTCTTGTTTCTCGTTTAAAGCCGCATTCAGCAATATTCCAGCTATGTGACGGCGTTATGTAAATAATCGAGTCTGGACCATACAACCCAGTGATTAACATCAAAGAGCATCGATCTACACAATTGGGATACGATGGCGTGTGTCAACCAAGTGAGCGAGCCTGACCACCCTACCCCGTTAGTCGTCTCTTACGACAAGCGTAGATTGCTAAAGACCAATTCTAACCCAGATCTTCAGGGGTAGTGAAAATAGGAACTTACAAGGGACATTATTTTTGTGTTGCGTTGCGTCAAATTTAGAAATGTCCTGCACATGTCTACCACAAAATCACGAGTGCTGGCGTGAAGGTCACAGATCAGTTCAACACAAGGGCGAAACTTGTGAGAGTGGCGACTGCTGCAAGATGTGCTTGCCCCTTCTATACACATGGTGGCATTACCCTATGATCTATTAACACATCTTTCTCTCTTACTTTGCTTTTTATGCCTCTTGGAATATCTTTCGGTAAATCATCGAGACTGATTATGCTCTAGTGTTGAGGTTTTGAGTTCATATGTCAGTACTTCAGTACAGCAATGTATATAATAATGTATAGTCTAAACTGTTAAGGTGTCGCTTTTGTTCGTCTTCCGGTTAGTGGCACTACATTCGCTAAACGCCAAAAGAAACGTTACCCTCCTTCTTTAATGAATTTCTTAAAATCTACTCAAGTGAGGATGACACTTTCTGCTGCATTGTGATGCGTGGACGTCCCCTTCTTGGTCTCTCTACGGTAACCCCAGTCTGTCTGTAGCGCTGAAAAAGTCTTATAACCGTGATACGGTGGCATCCGAGGGCGTTGGCAACAGCATTGTATGTCGACCCCATCTGCACCATCCCAATGGCTCTTTCTCTCTCTTCAGCTGTTAATCGTGGCATATTTCTCGTACTTGTGTATCATATCATGCATTCTAGACTCTCTTCATACCCTATAGAATCATTCTACATGTGAAATGGATGCAGATACTGCTTGAATATTGCTGCGTTTTGGCGATTGATATTGCTATGTGTACACAGAAAATGAAAAAATGTTAACAAAGATAATTTTAGGTGTTTAAAAACACTTTTGCACAATATCAAAGACACGTTGTACTTGTTTTCACTAATGCAAATTAGCAGAAAATGTATTAAAAGATAGGAATGATTCTTTTCCAATTTTACATCCCCTACAACAGTTCTATCTATTAGATGAGAAATGGTGACTTTGAATGGTTTACCTTTGTATCTAAGCAGAGTTTTATTCAACCTTTCTTTTTGACATCCAAATCACTGTTATTGGTTTATTTCGGCATGGTCGAAAATAGAAGAAGAGATGCATTTCACCTAATTATGATTGCATTTGAGAATTATTTTCGTGATGTGCATAAAGCTTCGTTGTTAAGCTTTCTTGTAAACTAATACCTTCGAATTCTAACATATCTTTGATAGTTTTCATAAAGTAGGAGGGTAACGTATCTTAGTGTACAAGCGAAGCAATTCCGTCTCCACAATTGAAGTCGCTCACACTTTGACGACGCTAGGCAACAAGGCAACGTTTGGGCAAAACGGCGTCATTTAATAACACTCTCTAGCATTTATACTTGTGAAGAATAAGATTCCAAAATAAGAAGAAAATGGTTACATAGCTATTTTGTAGTTCGTGATTTATAAATTTCTATTTTTATAAATTTGAAATGACATTTTCACAAAAGAATAAAACGAGCCAAGAAAAAAATTAAACATGCTCGCTAAAATAATACAATTGTCTGTGCATAGAGATGTAGGTGGCCGTATTAGTGTGACATGTTCTTATATGAGCCTTTGTCGAGAATAATACATATTTGTTACTCCCAGTTGTAATATAAAAAGGATAACCACTTCAAAACACAATATGATGGAAGATGATTCCTGGTTCTGTTAACGACTTGTAGACCTACGAAAGGATGTGTCTTCCCTCGGTGAGGTGTCCCTGGTCTCGCTCCAGTTCTGGATGTTGTAATGAGCGACGGATGCGAAACTGAGACACAATCTCACACAGTCTATAAGCTCGGTAATCATTGTCCGTTATACTTTTAGTTATTTACATCGTAACACTGAGTTAGCGTAGTTACAAGCTGGCGAATGACAACAATGCATACTGTATGAATGGTTGTCGTAAAAGCCGGCGATGTAATGTCAGCATGGGTTCATTCCATTGCCATCGATAGCTACATGATCAGAAACCCAGTTTTTATTCAAACCAACATAATATATGTTCATACAGCAACAGATGTTCTGTCTCCCAGCTTCTTCATGAACGACATAAAACGAGCGTAATACTTAATAATTGCTTGTTCGATATCATAATTCGTATTTGATACCATTCCGTTAAGCGCTACTTTGAAAACTGTTTCTTGGTTGTGTATGAACATTATAGACGAGGACCATCTTGATTCGCAGCATGTTGAAGGAACGCGGAAAGCGGAGCCATTGTGTGTGACATTTGGTTAATGTAGTATTACGAAAAAGTCTATGTTTACGCTGTCGGTTGATCGAAACTGCGGATTTGAGAGCAGACATGATGCGAAGGACTGGAATCCGAGGTTGCCTTGGCTTGGGAACTATACTGTATGTTACGGCATGTTTTATACTGTATCACCATACACAGGATCACAGCGGACAGAAAGGCTACCCAGGTCGGTCACCCTCCCAGCTGACAGGCAACTGTGCCGCTGATCCGGTCAACCCACGACCGACAACTGTGTACGTCAAATTGACAGAGGACGTTTTTCTCTATTCAGCCTTCTTTGACGGAAGACTTGACAGACCGTTTATACGTTTGTTGGGAATTAATAATCGTAGGAAGAACAGAACTAAACTTTGGTGCCATTTTGTTTCAGATGTTGCACGTGGGGTAACGATACATCACGTGACCAGTGTGACTGATTATGAAATGTGTGAGAGTCATAATTATAATTTTGCAGGATGGATATGGTCTTGCGTTGTACCGGAAGTGTACGCCGTTCAAGGGAGACAACCGCGCCATGTGCGTGTGGGTTTATCAGAGGATATTTGGTCAGCGCCTAGTGTAGATATGTCTGTGCTGGGCACAGGAAGCCGAATAAAGGAGCCACGATTTGATTTCACTGTTTGCGTTCCGCCATTATTCGGCAGTCTCACCGTTCATGATATTGTTCAATTTGTTGAAGTCTCACGTATCCTTGGAGCTAATCATTTTGTTTTCTATAATCTCGACACTCAGCAAGATTTGCAGGCCACTTTGAACTATTACAAGTCAATTGGTCTCGTGTCTGTGTATCCATGGAAGATACCATTCAATTCAGTTACCACCAATCGCAAACAAAACATTTGGTATCATGGACAATCCATTGCTGCGAATGACTGTCTGTACAGGCATATGTTTTCAACAAAATACATCATTTTCAATGATCTTGACGAATTTCTAGTTCCGCGTGACCCGGATATAATGTCGTGGAAGGATTTAACAACGAATCTCTACACACCTGAACTGTGCGGTATAAGTTTCGAACGAATCCTGTTCAATATAAACAAGCTGTACAACGTTTCCAAACTCAGGATGACAGTGTTTAATGCTCTGGGGAGGCGGGCAACTCCTCCAAGACCGACTACATCGAGGAAAGTGATGGTTGAACCATCAAAGGTCTTCGAGATGGGGATTCATCATGTAAGTCGGCCATGGCCCGACGTTGCCAAATATCGTGTCGACCATGTCTCCCCGGACAAAGCATTTATTCATCACTATCGACAGAAAAAAAACATTCGCAAGGAGCGGAAGTTGAAATTACAGCGCGAAATGATAAATGACACGTTGTTGTTCGACAAATATGGATCTGTTATTTTTGAGAAATATATCAATGCATTCAGAAAAATTAAAAAAATAGAGGGTATACGAAACTTGTCAAACAACAATCTTCCTTAATTTGAAAATTGATGATCTGTTTTCGTAAATGTTATCAGTGAAGTGTGAACGATGAATAAACGATTCAGTCCAGCAAAGTGCCCTTTGTTGCTATTGCCTAAGAGCGTTGACATCTTTTTACTGCCATATCATTATTTTAGCAGGCTTCATGAACTTCTCTTAACCTTTAATATAAACCACTATCGTCATATTGATATCAGAAAATAAATATTGATTTGAAAATAAGGCAATATTGAAACAGTTTCTTTTCTTCGAACCGTTCACCGGAACAGGTGTTGCTCTGACAACAAAGCCTCACCGGGGTACGGCATGTCGCAAAATCTCGCCGGAATGGTGCATGTCGCACTGCGCCCACTTCAGGCGAAGCCCTTTACCAATTGTTTGTTTGTAATAGTCTCGGTCCGACTAATTCGAGCAGATTCTTTCCAAAGGAGTCATTGTCTGAATATTTGCAGAACCTTTGGGGGGTCTCATTAACTCTGTATTCTTTCTCGATCACTTTGATTGACCAGTCGGAACCCCTCTGTGACGCGATGATGGAATAATCAACGTTATTAAGCCATCGCAAAGGGATCAGTCCCGCTGCCCCGACCCCTCCGTCTGACATGCCCGGGGGTTGGGGGCGGGGCGGAACATGGCGAGAAATAACTATGACATTACCGATGCAGATCAGGTGCCCATTTGACGACGATGAAACCTTTAATTTCCGTCATTCTGAACGCTGAATTAAGCACACGAGTCCTCTCGGGGAGAAATCATTGTTCTCAATAAATCGTGTTATTGTGACCGTATAATTACTGTTTAGGGCTAGGCAAATTGGCTAAATATAGAGGGGGATGACGAACACTCCCTACCCTCTCCGGTCATGGACAATTACACAACTACATCGTGGTTGAGGAGACATGTTACACATTTCCTCGCATAACGTGGCCATCGACACTGACGTTGAGCATCTGTCTCGTGCAATTACGTCACAGCATTACGCAGAGAAGCCGTCACCCATCTGTGATACACTGCGGCTTGGTTGACTGTGGATTAATTTAGGCAATTTAACAAGGTGATAAACTGGAAGCCTTAAACTTTTTTATATTCGATACACGTTTAGTTTCTGTTTACACGAAGTGGTACAGTATCAAAGATAATTAACGTCAGTAGTCTTAAACAGGACTTGAAAAACCACTCATGTATAAACCCTGCATGCTTTAATCCTTATATTCCTCACATTATTTAATACTATCGTCATATTGTTATGTGATCTTATTTTAGTGGTTAATCTGTAAAACCGTCATGCCAACGGTTCGAGTTCGATTCCCCACATGGATACAATATTTTAAACCTGTCCGGATGTCTTGTGTGATATTCTGGGCACATTACATGACGATCAACCGGCTCACACACTCACCTGCTATAAATTGGACACGTTGTACGGGTAATACCTACCCAAATGGTTATCGGACTAACGAACCCGGTACGTACGTATATGTACATCATAACGAATAGCATAACCACTATAAGAACAACAACTGACATCGAAAATTACAACTCCAGATCATAATCAGGCTGGAGTATCCGCCGAAAGAGATTCCACTGGGTATTAAAGGCACATTAACGATGGAAATTATATAAAAGATCGCTGAAAATGAGTAATGTCAAAATGTGTATGTCTAAAGGGTAAACACACCTACCACTCACACAGGGATGACACCGGGTTTTCGCGAACACAGGCGTAGCTACCGTTATAACATTTCCTGGCCAACCAGATCACCTACCTCTCACACGATGCATAATATTTGTAAGTGTTTATTTTCTTCTTCTTTGTTTCCCGATAATGCACAGCAATATCCTCGCGTGTATTCAGAGAGAGAGAGAGAGAGAGAGAGAGAGAGAGAGAGAGAGAGAGAGAGAGATGTATGCATTCATTAATTAACCACATAATTATTGTGTTTTCTCGTGAGCCAATAAGCACATACTTACTAAATATTCTTCGACTTGTCATTACCCATGAATATGTACAACTCACCCTTCTTTGATGAATCATCTGTAGTCCAACTTGTTATATGTATGTATATTGTGCCGCTCACTGTACAGTATTCACCTGTACATTACATATAGATTTGGATAATCAGTCATAACAAAGAAGTCTGGAATGTGTGCAAGTCAGTGTTACCAGTCACAGGACGTTAACTTTCTAATTATTAAGTCGTGTAGTTCCAACCCAGAAAATCCATAATTTCATGCTGAGATATGTGCCTATCAGGTTTCGCTTGCACAAAACGATCTTTGCGTTACGACGATCTTACACTCCATGACAACAGTGCTAACAGTTCTGTAAATGGACTACTTGTGGACATTTGTTAAAGTGATAATCATTAGGAAGACCAGAAGTGATCAGTACAAAGTGAGACATGCATTGCCATTTGAAAGTACCAACCATTCGTTCTTTGTAATGGGCCAATATTAGTCCATGTTGAGACTGTGTTATGTCGTCCACGCAGGGTGTGGTCACGAACACTCTGCTCACATTCACCAGCGGGATGGCCGCATATATGGATGAGGTTTTCATTAGTCGGCTTAGAAGTGTTCACTATATACATAACAGTATGTTTACATAATCCTAATTGACAAAAACGAACAAAACAGAAATTATCTTAAATATGTCCAAGAACTTTCAGTTTCAGCAATACATGTCTCGTCGTAATTTTAACTTGAATATAACACAAATACTCCTCTGTTTCCAAAGCGAGGACAAGCGTTTGCAGGAAACGTCAAATGCCTTGCTTATGAGTGACTGTAGGGTCCTTTACTCCTATACTGATAGCACTACAACTGGCAACATTTATAACTAAATTGAAACATTTCCAGAATCATGAGAACTATCTGCCTACAGCCGGGTCCAGCTCACTGTTCCGTCTCTGTAAAAGCACGCGTGTATGAATTAGTAATTCGTACATAACGTGTCTGGGTTGTTTCTTTCTCCTTCATCATATATAATTTATAATGGCGTTGCGTCTGATGGACCACAATACCTCCATGTTACCATACACCACCTGGCAATGGTATGGAGACTTCACGCCATGTATATGCACACAGTGATTAAACATTAGAAGTACTGAAAGAAACTCAGCATGTGATAAGCGGGTAGTGTGTCGCACCGAACACCCCTCGTGTGGTCACCCTGCGACGCTTGTCGCACCAGACACCTCTACTGTGGCCACCCCGGGTAGTGTTTCAACCACAAGCCCCTTTGATCGCGGCGCTCCCTGAACCAACCAACACTACGGGCGGTACTTACAGCGTATGTCTTCATACAACAGGTGTGAGGTATGTATGTGACGGCACCCTGATGGGAGACCATGGGTCAGGGGGTGAAACGTTGATGGACCTTCCTAAAACTGATACCGCCGTCTTTCATTATTTGGACTCTTTCACTCAGGTAATATTTATTTGCATGATGTAAATTGTCATTGTCATGTAAGAACCGCCATGTAACTGAATATGTCTCCAAACCATTTAATACAGTGTAACTTAAGGTGTAAACAGAGGCGTGTTGTCAACTCAACACATCGTCGCTTGTTTCTGAAGCTATTCGCCTGATGGTGTAGAGCACATAGTCTGTCATACAAACCCTGAAGCAAATATATCCAACCCATGCAATTCTAGATTATGTGGCAAAGTCTACATAGCCACAGCTTAATAAAGAATGTCTCTGGGCTCCTTTTTATTATATTTATAATTTTAAAATTTTTTCTTCTGTAAAATATGTTCATTTCAGAGACCAGTTGTTAGTCTATAGAGCGCACTAGCTGCGCCAGTGCCGTCGATTTCCCGCCTCTGCCTCAACTCCCAACGTCGAGACGACAATACCGGGTGCATCATACGACTTCGAAAACGCCTAAACAATAACCACATCAGCAAATACGTTCATGGTCCTATAAATTATGAATGTGTTTTATATGGAACATGTATGACAGATACCTAGGTCGGGCAGACGTAAACTATGACTTAAAATTGCCCAAATAACAATTTTGACAGACTCAATGACAAGGCAGCATAGGAAATGGTGTGAACATTGAACATTTCGAACATCGTAGCACAGGTGATTCTTGGTCTTTGGAAAGCCAATAGCGTTTCCAGTTGTGGGGTTGTGACGTTGTTCAACTCTACAGCCGATGTAGCATGGAACAGGGTCCCAGAGGATAGCCAATCTGACAACCAACGTACATTCATTTACATGTGGATACAGTGATACAGAAGGCCATTCGTTCCGATTTACGTACGACCATAGTCACCGCTGCAGGATTGTTACTCACTGATGTCACTACTGGCAATACAAATGACGACAATCGCATCCAAACATAAAGCGTGAGAACAGTTCAGCAATGAGGGTTGACTGTGTGAAGAATACAGGAGTCACAAAGTCTCCGGCCAACAAACCTATAGATGTTTTAGTGCATGTTATACGTAATGCCTTTGAAATTAAAATGGTCGATACATCGTTTCTGTTCAATGAACTGTTACAATCCGTAAAATACATGTTTCAATTTTGGTAACTGCAAGGCAGACACCGTACGTCTGCCCGACAGTTGAACCCCCTGCTGCTGAAACAAGCTCAGCACTAGATAAGTATATTGGAAACACTTCTTGAAAACGCTGGGTAGAAACTGCATTCACACTATGGTAGAACCAGCTCACTGCTGTCTAGTTGTCTACAAACGGGTCTGCAATATCTGTTTGGGGTTAGATATCATGGAAATTCGCTAAAGGCGTCATGGCACATATATTAGGAAGCAGAGCTTCTATTTTGTACGCACGGTGAGCACGAGTATGTACGACCAAAGACACGAACGAATGTTCCCAAGAAAACCATGGTTAGCGGTCTCTTGCTATCCAAGTGACGGGATCGCTGAGCGGTATTGGAACTGAAACATGACCCATTACAATGTAGCTTATTGTTCAATTCAAAATGAATTTCTTTTGCAGTTTAAGATTATTAATGTAATCTTACATCACCTGCCTCGAATTAAGATCAGTGTGTGAATGGAAAGTGTCCTGTCGTCGTACCTGGACACAGGCCATGCTGAGTCAGTCCATTTATGACCATTCTTGGTGAATCTGTTTCAGTTGGTGGAGTCAGGTAATCGTAAAACCACTCCATAATTCAGTAAACTGGTTTGTCACAATACGGGACACGCTAACTGATGTCACATATGAATATATGAAAAGTGATTATCTCTTTAGCAGATGTCAGCATGGAGATTGTGGATGAATGCACCCTGTGCCTATCTCTGCTATCTACCATTGTATGTCTGTCACTTGCCGACATTCGATCTTATCGCAAGACAGTCGCGCCACTAATCCTAGCATCAACATCGCGCGGTAGATCAACCCAGTGGTCTCCCTTTAGCAATTACCGTCTCTTCAGCAAAAGCAAGCAGAGACGAAGATGTGATATAATCAGTGAAAGTTTTATTCGTGCTGGTAAATCTTGTTTTCTACCCGTACCGGCCTAAATATACCGTCTCGTCACTGTCGCGCTGTGTCAAAACGGTTCCGGTGTGTACTCTCGTAGAATAGCGCGTTGGCAGTCGTGACACACCGAGATCGTATCAATGGTGCTCAGAGCGGACTGTTTTGTTCAAGGCCAGTCAGTCGGAAACCATGCACCAACGACAACATTCATGAAATAAAGAGAATAAACTGTCTGAATCCTATGAAGATGTCAAAGTAAGATAGTTCATTGTCAGTGACTCGTATGTAGGTAATGTCATGACATCAAATATTTACTCTGAAATCTTCTCAATTTTGATGTGAAAAATCGTTCAGTTAAAATGCATGTTTTCAAAGTTAGAATCTGAAGGTAAAAATTTGAGGATATGTCACGTGGCTTAGAATAGCTTAAACGTTGATAGACTCGGCATGGGGGACCCTCCTTGCCTTCTCTAATCAAAACGTAAAACTAGCTATTGTTATTTATTCCATTCAAAGATTCCTCTTTTACGTCCAAACACTTAACATTGAGTCGAGCCAATCGCTCTATTGTGGAGGTGCCCCGCTGGCCTATTGTACACGGTTGTATTAAAGAGTGGCCTGTTACCGTCATTTCTCCACTGCATCGCGAAAATCCACCAAAAGACACCTCCCTCCTCTCCCTCGTCAACAGCTGATAGACGTAACGTTGTTTATAGCGACGTCGACAACGACGACAAAGCGCTTCCAAAGTTGTTGGCAGATGAGGTGTTGACGATTTGACAAATAGTCTCAGTGTGCCATGCTATAACACGGGGAAGATTGGCAGTTATCACAAGCATCCTGGGATACCTGCCGCTGTCAACATTCACAGATAGCCCTTGTGACAAGAAAGTGACAAATTGACAATTGCAGGTGTAAGGTGGAACCAAATTAAGGAGGTCATTTTATGCATGCGACTGGACTCTCGCGTCTCCTCTGCCGTGATGATGGACAGTGGTCAGTCACAGTGGGGCCGCACCATGAACGTCGGCACCAACGGCACTGCACACGTTGCGGGGACGTACCCAACATATTGCCAGAAGCTCACCGTCAAAGGTAGGACAAAATTCAATGAATTCGGATAATCTTATCAATGGATTTAATACATATGAACGAGTTTAATCGTAAATTAATAATTATAAGCGATACAATTCATGAGTTGCTGATTATTCAAAGTTTACAGTCACAGTTGGGAAGGGATAAAATAGAACAATGCATCACATGCCCGTATTTTGTTTTCATTTCCGAATAGTAAATTTGCGTAACAATTAGTATCATACACATTAACGCCTCCTTGCAGTCAACTTTAGAGATAGTACTATACATACGTTTACATCGTATGCATAAGTCTCGTTTATATATAATAATTCAATATGGATACTATGGGAACAATTACTTAATATGTTATAACGAGCATGTGATTAACAAATATTTTTAATTGTTTGTTTTTTTAACATAAATCATACTGATTTGTCACGATGTTACTTTTTAAAGTACCATTATGATACTCATTAAAAGTAATGTTTATTCGAGATTTTGTCTAAAATTGTTGTATTAATGAGATTTTTCTTTTGGGATAGTCGTGTACATGGTAGATTGAACTGAAATATTATTCACTAATTGTGTACTCAGGAGCTGCTATGGTATAAGTGTAATATACACTTGATTGACAGTACTCCTGTTAGGTATTATCTCAGCTACAAGAAGCATGATATTAGTACACTGAGACATACAACACAGAAAATATTGCTATTCGGAGCTCTACAAACGAGTTAGGGATCCAGTTCCACAATGTGGAACCTATACTTTCAATGATATATTTCCATATTTACCAAGTTCACAAAAGCTCAAATAATAGTCACAGCTTTCAGAAACACATTTTTTGTAACATTTAAAACATATATCGCACACAAGAATATCCATTTTCCCAAAGACAGTGTGTTTACAGATGACGATTATGTCACAGAAGCCATTTCCACGGAGCTCGATGTTGTATTACAGTGTATTTATGTGAGACATTCATTATAAAGGTGTTCTTTCTCCAACCCATCTGGATTATTCTCCGTTTAACTCAGCCTCTTATCAGCCAAATGAGAAAAGTGAGCGTAAAAAATTTAAGCTTTATGTAGTAAAAACAAAAAGTTGTTATCCATGAAGTTGTTTGTTTACTTTATTTTATTCATTTACTTCTAAAATGCCAATCAGACAATGGGATGTTAAGTATTTTATTTCGAATCTGCTGTGCTTTCTGGACATGAAAAATCTATGTAACATACATTTTTGTAAGTAAATGTGGGTATTTTGTTTTAAGTAAAGTCATGACTATTCGATCATTTACTCTAATGCTATATCCCTATGTTGCATAATTGAAACATTTGATTAAATGTTTGGTATAAAGTGATATATATGTTCATATAGCGGGACTGATGATTGCACTGAATTTTATTATCTCATTGGGGAAAATGTACACAAATTGCTTGTACATCAAGATCACAGATTTAATTGTTATTCAGAAATGATACTTTCTGGGAACTTCGTTTTAGGGGAAATATTCTCACCTGTCCAGTTCGTTTACGCTTTGTGAAGCGGGTGCATAGTCATGAGATGTGTTAAGTGCACATTACATGTATGACACTGTCACATGCATGACAGGAAGATATAAAACACCAGTGCCAAATAATACCCAATCTTGACTATCCTCAGAAACAGATTCCATTTGGTGTTAAGGCCCAAGTAGCTGTGAAACGTTTTTCGGAAAAAAAATCAGGAAGTTCGTCTTATCATTTCTGACCGGATGAATAAGAACTGTACACAATACCTTTTTTTCTATTCTATAGGAATGAATACCTTATTATAGAATTATCTCAAAAGTAGTAATTTATCATTTAACCATTTATATGGACTTTTGTTTCTTCAACATTTTTCCCAGAAAACGATTTAAACGGCTCATTAAAAATCGTAAAAGTTAATTGAATTAATTCGTTATCCAAGTTGGTTTTCAGCAAATGAAAAAAAGCGTACATCCACTTCAACAGCTGGTGCAGGCGCGCGTTGAATAGAGGTTGAGGGGGCTAGCGAACTCTCAACTTGCATTAGATCAACAATCGTCAAAATCAATAAACTAACGACTGCGTAATTACCTTTGATGATTTACAAAGGGTGGTTAAAAATGTTGCTTTGAAACCAGGTGAAATCTGTATTTCCCTCTCAGCAGTGGTGGCTTGGTGTTGACTGGGGTTTGATTTCCCTGTGACTGCTATATGAGAACCAAGGGACAGGTTTAGGTACTGGAGGCAGATAACACTGGGATTGAATAGTCCACTTGGACTTACATTATAAATAGTTTGTAATTTCGTCAAGAATGATGCTTTATGTGAAATCACCATCAAACGTTTATCAGGAATATGACATTTCAATTTTTGTTATCTTTTGCCGCCATACCGCATATAGTATTTTACGTCGACCACACATCTTCTTATAATTCTAATATTTTTCATGAAATTGTGCTTAGGCTTTATTCGAGGTAAGTTATATAGGATCCTACAGGTAAGGCAGGGCATGCGTACTCGAGCTTTTTACACGAGCACTTTGTGTCATCAGTGACATCTTCAGTGATCGGTCCATGTAATTTTCCGCGCAGTTTTGCCTTTCACGCCAGATGGAATCTGTGTCGGCGAACAATTGAGACTGGTTATATGAGCTGACTTTTCATATTAAAAGAGGATACACGAACAGTGTGTAAAGTTCGTTTGAGGAATACAACATTTTCAAAATTTATATATAAAATTATATTTACATCTGAAACATTATGACTTTTTCATTGTATCAAACGCATATGTTCTTATGGATTAAGATATGGTTGAAATATTGTTTACGGGTTATTTAACATTCATCTCCGATTCCTAATACCACAGTTGATCAGACAATATTTGAATTGACTCGGTTAACTGATTAATTTGATGGTTTATGCAATATTATACAATATGTGATGATCCGTGCAACATTGACCGGTTTATATATCATCTTTCTAAATGCATGTACTTCGACTAAATTACCTCTTCTGTCAAAACATGTATCCTACCAAACAATGTACGAGTCCCTATTTAGGACATTTTCCATATACTGCCATGCGTTATTGTTCGAGTGAAAAAGTGCCCTGCCTTTGCATGTGTTTGTGATATGTGCCAGCGATGGGCCATCCTGTCGCGGGCACCTTGTTTCACGACAATTGGATCGTGATTCCAAAACATATGCTTGATATGATAAAGTTGGAATCGTACAATAGACTCTGTTTCGAGCAGTTTGTATGATCTGGGAAAATTTTGTCCCTAACATTTTTTGATTTACAGCAGATGAACTATACATCTCCATGGCAGCGCACAAATGCTCGTATTTATTACGTATGTAATACCTCATGGTTCTATGTGCACAGTATAAATATAAAAACCATTCGTGGTTCGATTCCGATTGTATTATAACTTCACAAGCACACTGTATTGTTGCAAACAGACCATATATGAAATTCTTATTACGATATTATCTCCAGATAAAGTATATATTTAAATACAAATATATTTAAAGTTGAAGTAAAACGGGTGGTAACGTCTCAGGTGTACGATTCAACATTCCAGTAATTGTGTCTATCTCCTGAGGCAGCGTTGGAGAATAATCAGCATCTGCAAGAATAGATTCCACTGGGCGTAAAAAGCAAAATGATAAGTACAGCACTGTTCATAAAAATATGGCTCAACAAACCGTGAATCATGTAGCTTCCTTGATTACATTTTGGACTGTTTAGAAGAGGTGCAATAATTTGAAACTGTTGGTGGAGTGATACCATGCAACCATTTGTGACGATGAACATGCCGACATAATCCCGGGGCCTCTTAAAGGCAGCATGGCTGTTGACCAAACCAGGTTTTCATTCAAGGAAATAAAATATTGCTCAAACTACATATTTCATAGTATGTAGAAATAAGCATGTTTTTACATGTGATATGTGCCTTATACCATAGAAATAAGCATGTTTTTACATGTGATAAGTGCCTTATACCATAGAAATAAGCATAATTTTACATGTGATATGTGTCTTTTACCATAGAAATAAGTATATTTTACATGTGATATGTGCCTTATACCATAGAAATAAGTATATTTTACATGTGATATATGCCTTATACCATAGAAATAAGCATATTTTTACATGTTATATGTGCCTTATACCATAGAAATAAGTATATTTTACATGTGATATGTGCCTTATACCATAGGAATAAGCATATTTTACATGTGATATGTGCCTTATACCATAGAAATAAGCATATTTTACATGTGATATGTGCCTTATACCATAGAAATAAGCATATTTTAGATGTGATAGGTGCCTTATACCATAGCAATAAACATATTTTACATGTGACATGTGCCTTATACCATAGAAATAAGCATATTTTACATGTGATATGTGCCTGATACCATAGAAATAAGCATATTTTACATGTGATATGTGCCTTATACCATAGAAATAAGCATATTTTACATGTGATATGTGCCTTATACCATAGAAATAAGCATATTTTTACATGTGATATGTACCTTATACCATAGAAATAAGCATATTTTACATGTGATATGTGCCTTATACCATAGAAATAAGCATATTTTTACATGTGATATGTGCCTTATACCATAGAAATAAACATATTTTACATGTGATATGTGCCTTATACCATAGAAATAAGCATATTTTACATGTGACATGTGCCTGATACCATAGAAATAAGCATATTTTAGATGTGATATGTGCCTGATACCATAGAAATAAGCATATTTTACATGTGATATGTGCCTTATACCATAGAAATAAGCATATTTTTACATGTGATATGTACCTTATAGCATAGAAATAAACATATTTTAGATGTGATATGTGCCTTATACCATAGAAATAAGCATATTTTTACATGTGATATGTGCCTTATACCATAGAAATAAACATATTTTACATGTGATATGTGCCTTATACCATAGAAATAAGCATATTTTACATGTGACATGTGCCTTATACCATAGAAATAAGCATAATGTGATATGTGCCTGATACCATAGAAATAGAAAAGCATATTTTACATGTGATATGTGCCTTATACCATAGAAATAAGCATATTTTACATGTGATATGTGCCTTATACCATAGAAATAAGCATATTTTTACATGTGATATGTGCCTTATACCATAGAAATAAGCATATTTTACATGTGATATGTGCCTTATACCATAGAAATAAGCATATTTTTACATGTGATATGTGCCTTATACCATAGAAATAAGCATATTTTTACATGTGATATGTGCCTTATACCATAGAAATAAGCATATTTTTACATGTGATATGTGCCTTATACCATAGAAATAAGCATATTTTACATGTGATATGTGCCTTATACCATAGAAATAAGCATATTTTACATGTGATATGTGCCTTATACCATAGAAATAAGCATATTTTACATGTGATATGTGCCTTATACCATAGAAATAAGCATATTTTAGATGTGATGTGTGCCTTATACCATAGAAATAGGCATAGTTTACATGTGATATGTGCCTTAAGTTCAGTACTCTGGTACATACAAATTAACAATTCCTGGTCAGAAAAGACCCCCGATATCAGCGGCAACAAAGCAAAGCTTGGGGTTGTCAGTGTCTGTCTAGGTTGGTTACATCACCATACTCCATGTTACAAGCCGTCAGTACGAGCCAACAGCGGCGTTAAACAACATGCACTCAATCATTAATGATCACTCATTGTACACTTGTTGGCCCAGGTGGAAATCACACCGACATTAATTATAAACACTAACACTGGTATTTGTTTCAAAATGTTTGGCCTCTAATCGATGTGGTGCCAAGCATCAGTGCATACCACATGTCGTAAACTGGAGAATTCCGGTTATAATAGTTCCATGTTGGTGTGGCAGTAAGATGATCATACACTGCAGTTCAAGTGGTAACTCCTGATACAGATATTACTCAAACAACGAACTGAAAAGTTAACATACGAATGTTTGAACAAATTTATCTCAAACGGTTTATATAGTAATTGACAAAAGGCTGGCTGCGAGCTAATATTCAATAGAAAGGGAAAGTTCAAGTATTCAAAATGCATCGTATATAGACGTCCGCCCTATGTTCAATGGGATGTAAATACATCTTTGTCAGAATTTTGCAAACAAGTCATAATTATAGACTTTGTGTTGATTTCTTAAGTTTAGTTATCTACTTGATCGTTTCGTAGCTGTAATCTCTAGAATAGATGCCCAGTCAAACAGTGGCTTTCTGTTTACTATGAAATAACTGCCTTGAAATCATGCATGGGTCCAATACATCTTCTGTTAAGTTGGCTGTATTCGTTGAATTATGATATTATTCAATAGACGTTGTTTGTGTATGAAATGTATGACAAATAAGTGCAGCCATGTCGACAGTGTGATCCCACGAGCTCAGTGTGTTGTCATGTTAAAATATGAGGACGAATTATTGAATTAGATATTGAAAACTTACACGAGCCTTCTGTGTTTGTGTTTTGAGTGTTATGATGCATCGAATCAATATTGCTCAATATACGTGAAACATTTGTTTCTGTTTGATTTCTATAAAAACATCCTTTGTCAATCCAACATTAGAAATTTGGCATGGCAGATTAACTACATTAATATAGAAGAACCGGATGGTCCTTAACTTAGTGTGTAAAGATATAGAGTTTGTCTTGTTGGATGTTTCAGAAGCTATCTTATATGTTTTTTCTATTACGATGCGCGACGCCTTTTTTGCCCATTTCGTAAATGTGGCACACCTTCGGGAACCCAGGTCACATCGGAGAAGGTTCCGATGTGATAGAAAGCCAATGCATCTGACATGTCTTCAAGCCATTAACTGCACCAAAATACCCCAATCATTATAACATTTCCTTAAAAATAAAGAATTTCCCTAAAATATAGGCGTTGCTATGTTGTTTGGAAACTTGGAGTGCTTGTCGATAATTGAACCTGTCCTTTCCGGCATGAATTATCCACGTCAGTAATGTCTACCGCCTGTCAGAACTTCCTGAAAACCAGATGTTCCTTGCCATAAAATCAACCCTTTTGACAGCTTAAGATAAGGATATGATTTCAAGAATAATTAACTCCAGTTTAATGAATCATGGCATCTCGCATTAATACCGACACTAACAGGAAATTTCAATTTTGTTTCTTGTAGAATACACATTTCTCACCATTTTGTAAACCGGATTGTCAAATTGCTAATGACATGTCTTTTGTCAAATAACAGATACTGTCTGCCTGTGACTAGGCTATTATTCCCTTATTTTCTATAATCAGTCAGCCTATTATCACCCATAATTACCAGATTTAACTGATAATAAGGGTATCTCAATACGTTCAGTTTCTCACCCAAAATATCGTTGTTCCGAAACCGCACTATTCATTCATCTTCAGTTATCTCCCTTTGATAAGATGTTGAAATGCTCATTATTTCAACTTTTGATGCTGGCTTATTTACGATTTCGCGCTGTCCTTTAAGTTGGGGGACCATATAACAATTAATTCATATTAAAATGTTAAGTTGTGGACATTTTATTACGAACTAGGTGTCAGGTTGTACACTCGAAAAGAGTTTGAAAGTTTGATTTTTTTTCCACAAAATGTTGGAAGGATCTGCCTGAGTTCGTTTTATTTTCTAAGAAAGGATAAGTGACAGGTTTTGTAACGATCCCTGTACGTTATGCTTTAATAACACAACCGCGCGAACTCGGGCTCCATGAGATGACGGGCTTACAAAATGTTTACACACAAAAAGATTGGTGACACGGCCCCAACTCAATAATTAACTCAGCAGGACGGACGAGCTTAGAAAGTGCCCCCCTCAGCGACGGGCTAATTATCCGTTATGAAGACGAAGACTCGAGATAGACCAGTTACAATTACACTAACTAAATGTTTTATAATAGCAGTTGTCGGGGGAATGCAATAAACGAAACTTCTAGAATCGCTGGTTTTGTTGCAAAGGTTTACAGCCGACCGTCGAGGCACGTCCATAGTGCTTTGGCGGAGTTCGATTGAGGCTTGAGTACAAACGATGACGCTGGTGGTTTGATGGATATTGTTTGTTAGTATTGTGAAAAAATCTCTGTGGGTGAAGAGCAGAGGCTTTGAATAACTTGCCAACAGCCTGGTGGTTCCAGGAGCCCCGTGCGGATGTTTCAGACGAATGTTGGACACATCAAGAGATTATTGTGAATGATGTGAGGATGAAATATTTGATAAAGTGGTCTTTTCATGTTGACAAGAAGGAGAAAGGGGGTTGGGGAAAAACCTACCATGACAACCCCAATTAGGAAATTCTATTAGTTTCAGGAGCGAAAATTATATAGCAGCGATGTCGATAAAATTACCCTGGTTTCTCTAAGTCATAAGAGTTATGGCAGGACATTTCTGGTGTGCAATATCCTTTGTAATGAATATGATTATGTATTCACCGGGACCTATAATAAACGTGTCTTGGAACATCTGCTGTAAGTTAATGGCTCAGTAATGAAAGAATGGCACGAATTCCAAAAGGACGTCAACAGCGCACATGTCATAAACACTGAATTACAACAGGGTTGTTGATTCTCATGCCAATATCCCGGAAAACAAACAAATGGCAATGGTTAAACACTTGATACGTCAGTCATACCATACATGTCTTCGTAGTTGATGCGGTTGAGGGAGGGAGAGGGGTGGCACAGTTGTTACAGCGTTTGATCATCACACAAAAGGGTTCGGTTCCTGTCGTGGTGATAGGTGAAGCATGTTTTTCTGTGGTACCTGACAGTGCTGCTGCTGCTGGATATCTTCTAAGAGTTGTATAAAATCCATATCATAGTCTCAGTTATGTTAAACCATAACAGTGTATTGTAATGAAAAATGAAGACACAACTATACCATGGTGTATGTGGAGTTTCAATTATTTTCTGATCACGATTGTGCAGGGAATTGTTTTTCACTCACAAACCTTAATCACAACTACTCTAAGTAAGAACTTAAATATTTCCCTTGCACCCCATGCTGGTTGTAAATGCCGGTAGTATGGCCACACTTTATTACTTGTCTGATTGAATAGACCATTGTTCATGCTTTCAGTCACTAGCTTGTATGTCACCGACAATTTACTTAATTTGATTTACTTAGCTGAAATAGCACTGACTGCGGTATTCTCATCCATACATTACATCTTTCTCATAAACTTGGTTAGCGACGGTAATTTAGAATGTGGTCAAAGTGTTCGTTCGCCAAGGCGAAGCAGTTGGTTCGGTTCCATTCATGGGTTCTGATGTTCTCCCCGTGATATTCCTATACTATTGCTGAAAGAGGCGTACAACTCTCAATCTCTCCCTCTCTCCTAACAGATCCTAACGGAATGGTGAAGGAGCTGGTGTTCCCCAAGGCCCTGGACTTGGACCGTCCTAAGAGGGCGAGGACGACATTCTCATCGGAGCAGCTGTACAAGCTGGAACAGGAATTCCAGAGGAACCAGTACTTAGTGGGCAAAGAGCGGACGGAACTCGCCAAGAGGCTCAAGTTGTCCGAGACTCAGGTATGAGAGGTGTCTTGTTGTCTCATGGAATATTTCACGTCCTTAGTTTCTATTGTGTTTGGCAACGCCACCTCCAGCAATCCTTAAGGCGGCTGAGTAATCAACAGATACCTGTAGTGTTTATCACAATTATACAATCTGCAGGTGTTACCATTGATCCTGATTAGCTGTCGTGGACACACACCTAGTCCAGCTACACAATGGCATATTACATTCTCAAATGGCCAACTGGGTTATCAACCAATCCAGGGAGTCTGACCACCCAATCCTGTTGGTCGCCTCTCATGACAAACAATTCCAAATCGGGAGGAATGTATCGTGTCATAGCTGTAGGTATGCAGTCCTCAAATACTTTCAGTTGTTTTGATGCGATCAATAAATAATATTTCTTTCTCCCCTACAGGTGAAGGTGTGGTTCCAGAACCGCCGTACTAAGTATAAACGGGACCGGGAGCGGGAGGCCGAGGCGAAGGACTCCAAGGCAGAGACTGTAGCAACTCAGAACATTCTCCGACTTTTGCAAGCTACCCGCCATTACCCAGTGAACCCGTGTCCCGCCCCAGTCCCGCCATCCTACCCTTACTTCCAGACATACTTACACCACGGCTTGTCTTAGGGGAAAGTCCCACAAGATGTTTCTATGATGTGCGTGATTGGTTGGTTCTGGTGATGCTCTCAAGTGCTAAACGTGTGCTCGGACGGATGATCTCATGGTGCTTCGTTGGACAAGCTCTGGTTCAGCTGACTCTCGTGTGCTTAAGTCGACAACGATTATCGAATGCATAAAGACATTGATAAAGGCAAGATGTTCATGTATTAAATCGATAAAGATTTACGAAAGCTCAGCTGACAAAAATGTGACTCTCAATGGCCCAGGTGTAAGAGGCACATCTCAACAGGGTCGCCTCCTTGTCCTGAGATAAAGAATCTTGTGGTGATTCAGTGATGAAGATATCCATGTGCTCAAACGATAAAGTTGCCGCTTCCTTATGATCAATTTTCAACGAACTTGAAACTAATAGTCTGAGGGCAAGACACGCATGTGCTCTAACGCAGAGACAAGTGAGACATGAGACAATAGACATACTCCAGACAAGTGCTATGTCGGTATAATTGTTAGAATAGTGAAGACATGTATTATACAGCGGGTGGTGATTTATGCATGAAGGACAGTTCACGTCTCTGACAATAAAACTGACGGCTAGATCGATGTTGGCGTGGGCACTGATGCACATTTGTATTGGCAATAATATATCGATTGTATGGGTCACCATCAGTTGTGATACTTATCGAGATTTGCAATGAGGCTTTAGGCTCTTGATTAACTCCTAAGTAACTGAATATAACATTTTCCTCTTAGATGTATCGAGTAAGTGTAGCTTCGCGTATGTGTGTGGATGCGTGCGTGCGAGAGTAAGTGTGTGCATGTTAGTGTCAACGCGTGTGTGTAGGCTAGATTAAAATTGTAACTTGTGGTGTGGGGTACTGTGCTTCAGCCTCATTCTGTTTCAGTTACGATAATCTTTTGACCACATGTGAAGACGGGTTAATTATCATCTTATATCAAGTCCTAAAGTTGTAATACAGTACAGTGTACAGGAGGACTTGTCCACTATTGTCAAAACTACCACTCGTTACGTTGCACATATCCTTTTATAACAAGTATTTGGAGTAACTGTAATACTGCAACATGTTACCGATACATATTTGTAAATATCCCATTTAATAAATAATATTGAATAGTTTGTCGTTGTTGTTCATGCACGTTGAAACCGGTGCCCGTTACCAATGTGCAGATGACACGTTGAGACGCTGTAATGACAAGGGCTGCAACGATTCGGTTCGATTAATCGAAAATCCATTTTCGATAAGTTTACAGGTGAACTGTAAAAAACAAAGTCACGCCTCTATTTCACGGTTTATTTTCGTGTGTTACAACTGTTACTGTTAACACCTACAATTCTGACTCTACAGACTGACAGTGATCTGACGTCACTGTATGGCTGTCTTGCAGCATCCTCGACTCATGTAAGTTAACGTCTTGTATGTAATATATACCATAAAGTCAACAGAGAACTATACGGCAAGATAATGTCACAGTGAAGTTTGATATCCTCAATGATCCGTACAATCATCACATTTGCTAAAACGATGCACATATATTTTATAAACAATAAACATTATAGCGTCATGGAAACACTTAACGTTACACACTAATTCAACCTTAGACGTTACTATATGATCAACCTCTCCCAGCTCGATTTCTCACCTGGTGCGTGACTACTTAACATACAGGGCCCAGTTGTTCAAAACTCGGTTATCTTTTAACCAGCCGTTAAGTACATTTAACCGACCGTTAACTAATAACAGAGGGTTATCTTGTTGTTCAAAACTCTGTTAACTTTAAACAGGTTGTTAACGTGACGTTAAGTTAACACACCTAAGGACCGCCGCTAACTTTTTAACAGTGTGGTTAACCCGCAAATGGCGTTCATGGCTAACACTGCTTTCATGAGGCCAGTTCAGCAAAGAAAGGATAGGGTGTATCGCGGACTGGACTTCGATACTGGAAATTATTCGGACGAAGAGTTACATACGAAACTGTAACTATGCACTTCATAGGAACTAAAATTCATGTTGTACAAGAACATGATGCCTACGTTTCATCTTTTAACACTTGTGTAAAGGTTTATATATGTTTTACTACACTAAATGTGTGAATTTCTTCTGTAAATATTATTCAAACAAACACTTTCAAAGAATCAAACACGTACACCCTATACCCACGTATGATATGATATTGAACAAGGCTAAATGTAGATAATTAAATTAGTTTCATGAAAAAATATCCGAATCATTACATTATGATACTGAAAGTGTGATCGGCGGGATATGGTGATTGTGTATACTCTTATTCTACCGACCTTCACCTCAGAGAAATACAATGTTGACGTATGACATCACTACCGTTGAGATTTCTTTAAAAATGGCGGCTGACATGGGTTTTGCGAGGACCCTTCCCTTGATTCAGGGATCGTTTGTATATAAATATGGGATATAAGTAATCAGAATGATTCTGACTATCTGTGTATTGTTACATGTTTTTATCGTTTTCATTTAAAGAAAGAGAAGAAGCGGCCAGAAATGCCGATTATTACCGTTGTCGTTCTGCGTGATTTTGCGTCAGTCATGGCGTCACGCTGCACAGAAACTTGACAGTTTCGTATAAACATATCACATTCCTGTATTGTATCTATTTTTAATTTCCCATTTCTGGCTACTATGCTCTTTCCATGCAAATGCGTGTCTGAAAATTTGAGAAAATGCTACACAGTATAAAGTCTGAAATTTTCTTTGTTTACATTTCAAACAGGTGTTGTCTTTCGAGCACAGCATTTGTTTCCACCCCCAATATCTTTCGTTTCAGTTTATCTAGACACTTGGTATTGGTGACAAAGACCAGTTGTAATTAGATTCTAAAATGTATGAGGAATTCAGTAGGGCTGGGACGAGTAGGAAAAAATGGAATCGAGTACCCGCATGTACTTACCCGAATCGGAATCGAGTACCCGGAAATGTAAGAAAACATTCGGGTCAACCTCTGAATATTCAATCACGATTTGACAGAAACTATTATAGAAAACTTGAAAAAGTGGTAATAAGACATTAAAACTGACCTCAAGCTATTTAATTTACGTCTGTTTAACCAATATAGAGAGTAACATCATTACTTACATTCCTCGTTATAACAACGAACGTTTCGTTCCTGCTGCTACTGTAACTTAACTACTCACTGCAAATGCATAGATAAATTACAGTCATTAAAACTATGCTCCATTAATCGGACAATACCAATGATGTAAAAACCCGTGAATTTCCGGGTTAGAATATTGATCTTCAGTAACCCATGCTTGTCGTAAAAGGATCGGGTGGTCAGACTCGCTGACTTGGTTGACACATGTCATCGTATCCACATCGATGCTCATGTTGTTGATCACTGGATTGTCTCGTCCAGACTTGATTATTTAAAGACCGCCGCCATATATAGCTGGAATATTGCTGAGTGTGGCGTAAAACTAAACTCACTCACTCACTCAATGATGTAAATGCTCTCTCCCTCTCCGGGTACCCGATTCCTAGAAATAGGACTCGATTCCACCCGATTCCACCCGGATTCGGGTACCATAGTACCCGTCCCAGCCTTATAATTCAGTGATGCATTTGTCGCCGCTGAATATGAAATATATGTGATGTAATTGGCGTCTCAATACCGGCCTTAGCGAAACGTTGTGAGTTGTGAGTGATTTGCAGGCCTACTTCGTAGTCACTTTGATTAAATGTTATATTTGAATATCGAAACCTTTATGTCACAGCGAACACAACACTATCTCTTGTCATTTTACACGATAATGTTTGGAATTTTAAACTTATTTTATAACAATATCTGAATGCTAATGTTAAACACTGATGTAGTTTATATAAGGAATACAATGGCACAATAGTATTTCTCTGCCGAATCGTTGCAGCGTTCTATAATACACTTATGAAATATAATACATGTTTTCCGTCCTTGAAGTCATAAAAAAAAATAATTATGCATTTTCTGCAGTCACTTGTGAATTAAATAAATGAAGGTTCATCTGATTAATGAGTATCGAGGATATTATGTTCATCTATAAATTAGACGCACCTTCATGTTTTTCAAGACATCTTTCCGGAATATGCATCTGTGAAGGCGTTCAGATAATGACGATATCGCACAGTTTTATTCATGGGATTCCTGTCAACAGTAAGGTCGAATAATAGATCGATTCTATTCAGCAGTGTTGGCCCTGGGGCCTATAGTACAATTACAGTTTGATTACTTTCACGTGGTGCTAGTAACATATTAAGTTTCTATTGGCATTGAATGCATATTTCAGATAAAAAGCTAATGGTATTATAATCGTCACAACATCTATATGGTTTGATGTAAAAAAAGATTTGGCAATGTGTGTTCATACATTACAATTTTTGACAGACTTGGCAAATAATTAATAAATGATAATTGATAGCATCTTAATGACTTGGCCATACTGTCATGACAATTTAAGTAGTGAAAAGAGCGATAGGTCTTGTGGGAATTCAAAGATACATTAAGACTGTAGATCTAGCCGTCTAAGCGTAACTCCTGTTTGTAATAATTGTAAATATTCTATCCACTGAAAACATGCTTCTACTATTAATATTACATGTATTTTCATGGATTCATCATATTTTATGTATAGCTGTGCTATAGTTTCTCATTAAGATGTCTTTTCTGTTGTCGGAATTGAAGTCCCACACAGAGCTGGGATCATATTTCTTTGAAATATATATGCAAACGTCTGGAACCTTGTGTTCCAATACAAGCGTTCGTAGCGCTACGACATTCGCATGCCTGTCATAAACTATAGAGTTGGTCTCAACCATTGACTGGATTACATTCTCATCGTCAGCAGGGAAATTTCGACTTCTCTTTTTCCTTGGGGTGCAGGCGACATTTCGCGATTCCATTTTGGTAATCGGAAGTAAACAGAAAACGGAATTGTGGGATATATGAAAGCTAACCAGTGACGTTAACCATACTATTAAACTTTGACGGCGACGTTAGCTAACGGCATCACTATCATGTTTTGAACAACGCATATTTAACGTTCGGTTACCTAACGGCCGGTTAAGGATTTAACCGGCCGTTAGGAGTTAACCGGCGGTTAAGATAACCGAGTATTGAACAACCGGGCCCAGGTGTGTAATGTATAATTGTAACCGGCATTGATGAGGGAGTAATTGGACGACGTGTACCCTAACGGTACAATTCAAAGGTGAAAAAAACTTATAAGAATGACAAATTACGAGATATTGATTTTTAATGTATATTTGTGAAAATCCTTTAAAAATATCAGTAAGTGAATTTGCCTTTAAAAACTGAGAAGAATTTTCAAATATGCATTAAGTCGTTAGATAACCCCTGAACTCCTTCAGTAATAATTAGTCCATACAATGGCAATTTTCTTTAACAAATATAACTCCCCGTTACCACGAGACGTGAGTGCTGGACATGTTAAGAACACAAGTGTTGTCTGCTTAGTCACGAAATTACCAATCTGTACCACAATCACAATCTCTTTACACCACTCACCTTTCTTCCCTCTC